GATGCCACATTCCGCACATCACGAGAGATTATGGCTTTATTGCGAGAGAAATTTTGCGCCCGTGTAATCTCCCATCTTGTCGTTGTCCGAGATCGTCCGATTCTACACCGTTGGACTCTTTTATGACCGGGCTAAGCGAAAACCCATGTTTATGCCAATGAAGCCTTAACTCTTGAGCACTTCAAAAAAAAAAGCATTTGTCAAATTATCGCTGAGATATCGCCCAAAATGAAATTAAAATATGTGCCACGAATAACCTTAAGCAAAGCGAAATTGGCGAAAACTGGCGTGGCGGCCATTTAAATGATGTCGTGTTTCGTCTTTCAAGCCAGAGTTTAAACTTTATAATAAAAATTCGTAAAGAAAAAAATATTTTAAATGCATTTTCTATACCGTAAAATGAATAACTCAGTCGTTTGAACGAGTTCGGCACTTCGTCGTCTAGTGACATTTCAATCAGGTACCAGCACCACCTGTATACCCGTACTTTTCCGTTGAGTTTTTGGTTTAGCAGCAGAAAAACAAGTCAGAATATCTTTTATGCATTTGTTGTTATTTGTTTTAAAGTTATGTTAATTATATATGAAATTTTTTTTAAATAAATAAGAATATATAAATAGTAATGGAGGAAGATATTAACTCTACACTTTATTGTATATCTAATTTTAATTCAATTTTTCAATCGAACATTTCCATGCGTGAATTAAATATTCCAAATAACAAGGTGAGCAGTACAACTTTTTTGTTACCAACAGAAAAATATAAAAAAAAATAAAAATAAAAATAAAAATAAAAATAAAAATAAAAATAAAAACTAAAAACAAATTAAAAGCGATCGTTGTTGACGAAAGTTAAAAGTTGTGCAAATAAATTAGCAAAACAAGTGGGAATTAGTTTTTTTTTTTTAGTTTAAACGAAATACTCCAACTTGCACACGTTTCACGTACATACCTATGTACATATGTTTGTTTGCTTATAATCACACCACATTTCCGTTAATTACGCAACCAAGCACATGCTTTTAAGATAACGAAACGGAAACTAGCTGAACTCACGTGTTGTTGCTAAAAAATTTTAAGAGAAAATTCAGGGCTCAAATCCCAATGACACCAACATTCAAAAAGTTATGGAAAATTAATTTAAATAAAAAATTAAGTTAAATTTTCTAATTGCGTTAGCCTCTCCGCTGAGAATGTCAACCCCTCCGAGTGTAGTTCTGATATGAAATAAAGCTTCCCATAAAAAAAACTATCAGCCGTTCGGAGGTGGCTTAGTATAAACTGTATGCCCCTCCATTTGTTGGAAAAAATCAAGACGCAAAACCACAAATTGGAGAAGGAGCTCGGCTGAAAATCGCTTCAGCGGCAATTATATTATATATATATTCTTTTTTTTTAAATAATTATCTTAGAATTATAAATTTTTTTTTTATGTAAGTACACATTTTTAAATATATATTGCATATGTATATGTATGTATTTTGATTTAACAGCGGTCCAAAATTATTATTTTTATTTTTTTTTATTTTACATATTTAACATAAAGGTAAATTATTTCTCAATTGTGTGGGTGTGGCGTTACGCCTGATGACATTGTTTTGATAAAATTACAATTTAATTGCGATATGCATAGATACATATCTGTGTGTGAATGTAGTTTATCTCATTATTAGTATTTTTTTCTTTACTAAAAATTATTTCAGCATTTTTTTCTAATTGAAGGTTATGTTTTTAATTGTCATAAGATTTACTTAAATGTTAGAGTCTTTTTATTAGCCGAAAAAAATTACAAATATTTATTTTGACAAACCGCTGAATATTCACATTGCTTCACTTCTCCACAAGCAATTTTTTACTTCAACGAAATCACTAGAAAATTCTCCTTAATTTTCTCCCCTCAAATCTGTAAGGGAAATTACAGGCGACGTCTTAAGGCTAAATACAATCGCCAAGGACGCGCTCGAATACTGAATTTTACGCCATTCTCGGAAGAAGTGGACCACACCGCTGCTGTGTTCTGATTTGACAATACTTTCTCTACAAAAATCCCAGAGAAGAAGGGATAGTAAACGTAACAGTTTTGACGGCTCGAAACTCAAAGGCAACTCACTCTGAATATCTTGCAATCGACATGAGCAAGCACTTTACTAACTACAATAAAAAAAACCTGCTTCATGTTTACTCAACTCTAGTATAGTATCTCAACTTAGTGCAATATACATACGTGTATGTATGTATTCTGACAGCCAAATTGAGGCACTTCATTGTAACCACAAAATATATCAAAGGTGACAATAAGATGTTGGGAGATCTTCGAAAAACTTTCGACAGCATGCGAAACGACCGTGGTTTGGATTCCCGGACATAGGTATTCCAAGTAATTGCGAGACTGACGAGCTAGCAAGAAGGTATACAAGTCTGACCAGAGTAATCCCTGCACATAATGCGGCCATATCTCTTTCCTAAGTGACCTACACCAGCAAGGTCAAGCACAATGAAACATAGAGACACCCACATGTATTGTGACCAGACAAATCTGAACATTGATTGATAAAAAAAAACTCAGTCTCTACTCCTACAAAAAATGTATTCACTAACAAAGCTACTAATGTCTACTGTCTCGCATAAAGGCGAGGACATCGACGAGCCACAGCCTTGCATCCATGTAGATGACTGGAATATATTTTTTAGGAGTACTCGTCATTTAGGGTCCATCAAATCACATAGTGGCTGTATGCCTTCAATAGTTTAACGAATTCCATCTTTGAGGTCTTCAATCGACGTTGACCTATTGGCGTAGACCTTATCTTTAACGTGGCCCCAAAGGAAGTAGTTGCGAGGAGTTCAATCACAAGATCTCGTTGGCCAAGTGCGATGAACTTTTTGAGAGATAACCCAGGCCGGAAACTTTTCCACTAAAAGATCAACGGTTTCGTTGCTTGTATGGCACGTAGTGCCGTCTTGTTTAAAGTAAACGTTGTACAGATCAATACCATCCGATTCCGGACATACAAAATCATAAATCATACCTCGATAGCGGAATCCATTTACCGTAAATTTTGCTCCTGCCTTCTTTTTCGAAAAAAGTAAGGTCCAATGACTTCATAAACCACACCAAACAGTTACACACAAGGTGATAGCTTAGGATATGTAAACAAACTAGTATTTTACTAGTAAGATGCTGATTAATTATCAGATAATTGACACTTCATAAAATATTGCCTTGGTAAAACTGCGCTCATCAAAATCTTGGATGGAAATTAAAAATTTGAAATATTTAGTTGATGTCAACCGCAGTACGCCAGTGCCCTGCGCAGAGTCATGAGTGTGAACCCTGAACCATTCGAAACTTTATATATGTAATATGTAAAAACAATTTAAATTTCAGTCGCTCACTCACTCCCTCGGCAAACGATCTAAAAACATATACCAGATGCAGCAGACAAATTGCGCAACTAGTATCATTCCCTAAGCAATGATTAAATGACAATCAAGCGATAACAAGCGACAGACAAACAGGCCCGTGCCTTCGTGATCTGTCATTTAGGCAGATTTGTGTTAAACTATTTACTACTTCTATTTGCATGGTTGTTTAGTAGTCGTTGCATGTTACACCCACACTTCGACAATGCGTTCGTATGTACGTACATAAGTATGTTTCATATACAACCAATGTATTTCCTTTGCACGCTATTTATTGTACTTTGCAGAGAGCAAAAGCCGCAGACAATTTACAATAGTTGTTAGTGTTGTCATCTTGCAATTGTTTTTGCTTGTGTTGTGGACGTTTCATTATGGTTGTTGTTGCTGTTGTTATTGTTCTTATAATTTGCATAAACACGTTGTCATGCAATGCCTTTGGCATTCATTCATACAAGCAATGAATGAATCGCCGCCGACTCGGTCGATTTATCCGTTGTATTTTTTACGCACACATAATCTGAAGGGTGATTTTTTAGCTATTATCTATTTGGTTTAACAACTGACCTTTTTTATTTTTATTTTGCCATAAATGCAAGTGCACACATGACACACAGCACGCGTAACAATGGACTTATTGAGGGCTAGTTCAGTTATCGTTTTATTTCACGTTCGGGACCGTTCAATTGGCCGCCTAGATCGTGCGATAGAACGCCTTTAGACTATTTTTTGTGGGGCTATGTTATGAATCTTAAATTTTATTTTATTTTATTTTGTTTTATTTTATTTTATTTTATTTTATTTTATTTTATTTTATTTTATTTTATTTTATTTTATTTTATTTTATTTATTTTTTTTTTATTTTTTTTATTTCATTTGCTTTTTTTTTATTTTTTTTTATTTTATTTTAATTTAATTTTTTTTATATTACTTTGTTTTTCCTTATTATTATTACTCTTTTTTTTATATTAAATTTTTTTTTGATTCTTGAATTAATTATTATTTAATTATTTGTGAGCTTTTCAAATTTCGCTAATGCATTTTAAAATTCAATTCAAAAATCTTTAAATGATTTCAAACTATTCGAAGATCTAAAGAGTTGGACTTCCTTTAAATGAAGATCAATATTAGCATATCGAAATCAAACTAATATTTATTTTTATTAAACTAGTAAATAGACGTCTGCCCCTGCGTGCTGCGAAGTTGCGTTATCATACATACGAGTAAATACATGCATATGCTTATTTATATTCTTTGCTAATTTTATTGTTCACACATTATATATTTGGATTCTTCTGCATAACAAACTCGCAATACTCCGTGACTATCCGTCGGCATGGCTAACGGCAGAGGTTGTGAAACATTAGTACATACATGTTATGTTACGTAACCCCAACTTTGTGTGGTTTAGTTATTATTCAGCATTTTCGAATAAATGCAATAAAATTACAAAAGTTTTGAAGGTTGTTTCTTAAGTTTTATTTTCTGTTTTTATTTTTTATTTTTATTTTTATTAGCTTTATATAACTGCTTCTTGACCTAAATATCTAACCCGGTATTGCAAACTTTCCTCTTTTCTAGATGATGCTCGTACAGCCCACACCTCAACAACGCATCTCCATCCGTGAAGAGCTTCGTGAACCCGAAAATCAATCGGATATCGATCGTGATATCAAGTTAATACGCGAATGGTTGGATACACAACCGCATCTACCCAAGGACATGGATGATGGCCGTTTGGCTACATTCTTGCGTGGCTGCAAATTCAGTTTAGAGAAGGTGAAAAAGAAGCTCGACATGTACTATACTATGCGAAACGCCGTGCCAGAGTTCTTTGCCAATCGTGATATACAAAGACCTGAATTGGCTATGGTATTGGATTATTTGTAAGTGTACTGAAATTACGAATTACGAGTACTTTTCTGCATGCAATTTTTTGAACACGTTCTTTACACTCTCTGCTCTTACCTACAGACACTGCCCAACTCTGCCTGGTCTCACGCCGAACGGTCGTCGTATTACGTTCGTGCGCGGCATTGATGTTGATTTTCAAGCTCATCACATCAACGACGCTGCCAAGGTGGCGCTCATGATCGGTGATATTCGTTTGTTGGAGGAGAAAGTCGGCATTGCGGGCGATATTTTCATTGTCGATGCAACCCTAGCGTCGGCTCATCATTTTGCCAAATTTACGCCAACTGTGATTAAGAAATTCCTCATTGCCGTGCAGGAGGCATACCCGGTGAAGGTGAAAGAGGTGCATGTGTTCAATATTTCGCCATTGGTAGACACGATCTTTAATTTTGTACGTCCCTTCGTTAAGGAGAAGATCCGCAATCGTATCACTTTCCACAGCAACATCGAGAGTCTATACAAGGCAGTGCCACGTGATTTGCTGCCCGACGAATACGGCGGCAAAGCTGGTTCGGTTGTTGAATTGAATCAACAATGGAAGAAGAAATTGGAGGAATACACACCATGGTTCAAGGAGCAGGAGGACAAAAAGGCCAACGAAGCATTACGTCCCGGTTCACCAAAGACCAGCGACGATCTGTTCGGTATGGAGGGTACTTTCCGACAACTGAACATCGATTAGATTGTTCCGTAGATTGGCTGGTCGAATTTACATGTAGTTGAGATTAAGTGCTAGAATAGAATGGATGTACGGATACTGTCGCGTGCTGCGGCTTACTCATGCTAGCGCTTTAATGCGGGCTGCTGCTTTTTTCGTGCTCAAATTCGTATTATAGCTTAAATAAAATACTGACATCGCTCCATCTGTATAAATACCATTCGCTTGTGCGTATACTTCCAAAAACAAAAAACAATATATATCTATAAAAAAATATTTTAAAATAATTACTTTATCTTTTACCATAATTAATATCATTTATTAGTATTGATCCGTATTGCCTCGTAATTTTTTCGATTAAACTTGCTGTTTCGGCGTGTTTTTGTCAAAGAAATATTACTTACATTAATATCTTATGTAAATCTATTTCATTTTGTTAACAAGCTGAGAAGGAAATGAACTTACTCACCACACTCATTTCATTTATTTCCTTTTGTTATTCTTCGTCTATGTTTAATTCAATAAAATTAAAAAAAAAATATATTACTATATTTTCAAATGAAACTCTTTACTAAAAAATCACGTACGATCACGTGATGTGAATCTAACCCCGGTTATCTCGAATGTGTTAAGGAATAAAGACTGATCTCATATTGACGATTCCGTGTTCAGAACACGACGAATAGTCCATAAGATTGGCGCGCATTCAAACAAGCATTTACACACTGCGTAACACATCATCAACACATACTTTGCGGATTACAAATGCTCGAGGATATATACAGTTATTTATGGTATCTGAAAACTATGAAAGCAACGGTGTTGGCGTGTTTATTTGCGTTCGTTTGGGTTAAGTCAACCGCAGCCAACTCGTTTCTCACCATTTTCTCGTTCAGTCAATATTTGGTCTTGGCTATATGGGAAATGTTCATGATTTGTTATTCGGCTGAAATCATCTTTCTGAATAGTCAACGCTGCGATGAAGCTCTACAACGCAGTCCATGGCATCTGCATGCGTGTGAAATTAAAAAGGATATTTTGTTCTTCATACTGAATGCCCAACAGCCTTTCCGTTTGACTGGTGGCAAGATGTTCAATTTGAATGTAGAGAAGTTTCGTAGAGTAATATGCGAGAAAAATAATTTTTTTTCTTCTCATATTTTTTAAATTTTATTGACTTTGCAGTTTTTATCAACATCTTTTTCGATTTTTACTAGTTTGCAACAGATGGACGAGAGAGAAGGTCAGCCGTAACAAGTTTTAAGTAAAGGATGTATTGTGTAATGACATATATACATATGTATGTATTGTATATGAAAAAGGTCATACTAAATATTCTTTTAGAACTCGCTTATCAACGCTCATATTAAAACAAGCAAAAATAAATAAAATAAATATTTAACTCGCCATAAACTTCATTTATTATTCTTAGTTAATAAATTTATATTTTAGAGAACAGAAATTTTGGCATAACATTATTAGCGATAAACCAGTTTGTTTCTCCCCTCAATTCTCAGCTTTGAAGTTGTAGACAAAACCCACATCTGAAACATCCTTTCCAACAGGCGGTGCCCCTGACTGAGCAGGAAAAGTCTTTACACGACGAACGAAATCCAAACGCAGGCTATGAAACTATCGAGGATTCATTTAAAATTCGTTCACCCAGTTAAAAAATTTTTTGTATGCTTCCCGGCATATGCAAACTTCTAAATAAAGAATTTATTTTTTTTCATATAGGCCACGAGAACGTGAGACGAAAATTTGTGCTATCCCAAATCAAAGCGAAATTGAGCGGAAAGAGGTCATGTGACTTACTTTTAACCTAATCTATAACAAATGTGAATCTTCCTGATTCACCTCCCTCTTTGACCTATTTATTTATCAATTTCTTTGACCCAATATTAAAAAATAACATTGGCGGCCGTGGTAGCCGAGTGGTTAGCTCGGGTTTCAAATCCTGGTGTCGTACTAACATCCAAAAACCTATGGAAAATGACTTTAAATAAAAAATTAAGTTACATTTTCTAATTGTGGTCACCCCTCACCAGGGAATATCAACCTCACCGAGTGTATTTCTGACATGAAATAAAAAGCTCCATTTGGTGGAAAAACATCAAGACGCATAAGCACAGATTGGAGGAAGAGTTCGGCCGAAAATCGCTGCAGCGGTTACCCAATTATATTTTATATATAATATTAAAGTATATTAAAGTTAAATTAAATAGTAAAACTTTACCATTCCAATTCCTTACAATTTACCCAATGGGCTTTAAGCACAAGTGTCTGTAATAATATAAATTAATTTAATTTGAAAAGTTTTCACTTACAAATCTAATACAAAGCCATCAAACTTTCGTTCATAAAATAAGTTATTAGTGAGTAATTGTAGACAGACGATATTTGGCTGAAGTCCTTTCAAAGTAGGCTTGATGGAAAATAATTTTTCTTTCGCTTATTGTCTCGACCACGATATCATCAGTCGATGAACGAAAGTCAAATGGAACTTTTTTTTGGTTGAAATTATTTATATAAGATCACGTAAATATATACACATATTTCTGCTGTAAACAAAGCGCCTTTGCAATGGATTTTTCTTCTATTCCCGTTCTTTACCAGTCAAAGTCAGTCCTATTCAATTTGTGAGTGCTGTAATTGGGTTATGACTGCTCATATTTGCCATTCACAGCTATATGAAATGATCTCTATAGGAAGACGTGATTGGAACATTGAGCTTTGTCTCACTCAGAGAAACCCTTGCTCTTATTAGCAAAAAATGAAACAATCGATTTTCCCAGGCTTCTCTTGAGGACACTTTTTCGTCAGCCGAATCATTCGCCATATACAGAAACAGCTGGTAATCACTTGGTGCGAGGTCCTAGCTCTGAATCATAAGGTGGATACATAAGAACCTTCAATGTGTGTGGTCTGGCGTTGTCCTATTGAAAAACAATTCTCCTCCTATTGACGAAGTAAGCTTGGCGCTTCTGAACGATTACTTCCTTCTGATTATCCAATCGTTGACAGTAAAGGTCTAAATTAAGAGCTCGGCCGCTCGTGACCCTTTTCTAATCCCACCATACATACAAGAAAACCTCCTGGCCGTAAATTATGACTTGGGGACCCTTAGTGCCCGCTTACTGCCATTCGAACTCGATCGTTTTCATTTGACATTGCTGTAAGTGATCCACTTTTCATCACCAGTCACCATCCGCTGCAGAAATGTGTCGATTTTGTTACGTTTTAGAAGCTTTTCGCGATGGAAATTCGGTCCATGAAGTTTTTTCTCGCTAACTCTCTTGTGTATCCCACCTTTTTCAAGTGGTTCCAAATTGTTAGCTTCTGTGCAGTCAAAACAGTACTCGCATAATGATAAAGAAACTCCCCTTTTGATGACGACCAAGGCACGTGTACTACAGGGTTACAATTTGAGGGCATGCAATTATTGTATAATGAGATAATTCGACGTGCAAGAATTGCTATGGATAGGTCAAGAATGCAAAGGAGTAGACAATTTTAACATGTAATTCAGCGGTCATATGATGAAACGCAAATTAAGTGTCCGTTACGTAGTGGGAGAGGTACTCAATGGCCGAGTCTTGGAATGAGTGTACGGTTCCAATGAAGATCTTAAACACACTGCGATGGTAGAGGACCACGATGTGCCTAAAGTTGTCCTTTATGAGCGCCTTGAGCATATTTATCATCACTGTCCAACGAGCTGGCAAGGGTGATAAAATACTCGGTATAAATGTCGAAAATTCAGTCTCTGTGACGAAATATATAAGAATGGCCTTCGGACCACATACGTAGCCGTCTCTGTAAAGCAAAGAACGGCCATCAACCAACACAAATAAGGTTCAACGTCAAAAGACTCCCAATCTTTGACTCATCAACATTTCGATATACTCGTAAGGGAACTGTGAAACAGAATTTTAAGCCAGACTACCTACAGCGCAACTTTACGATCGAAAACAGCATTTTACGAGCAGGATAGGAACCGAGAATTTAAAAATGTTGTAAGACGCATATGGACACAATAAGTACAGAGAACAAAATGCGCTTGAGAAGCTACCCGACAAGGGTAATGCTCGAAAATTCTACCAAAAGATAAATAAGACGAGGAACAAAAGGTTTCAACACCGGAGTACACTCTTGTTAAAACCGTAGATATTTCCAGAGCATATTGAGTTTATGGACGAAACACAAGCCAGGTAAATGATTATGAAGAGACAGAGAACCGATATGCAATCAATGACGACTTTGCTGACTTTTCAATAGCATTTGACGCCTTAGGAACACAAAATAAAAGGGGAGTGGTGATAGATTGTTGAAGGAGCTATATAATTGTGCTATGACCTTTACATTATTGCACCAATCATCTTGGAATAAGTCTTATAAAAGACCCACGAAGAAATGAACGACACACAAACAGCTCTTTGCCGTTTGCGATAACGATAACGAAGTTATATACCTCGGTATACATTTGGGCCCACTTTTAACCTCCTTTGTTGACTTCAAAGCTTAATCGCAAAATCATTCGAAATTGATGTACGGAATCAGAGACTTCCCTCCAAAACTTGGTGCACACATCTAACCATAATATACATAAAGATCTAAATATGCACATCACTGAGGAAGAGAGCAAGTCAAAGCTGCATACAAAGAAGCTCTGGGCCATATGAAGTTCCGACTCGTAATGAGAATAGCGAGGCATGCAATAACTTCGACCCTTCATTTAATTAAAATATTCTGATTTTCGCTTTACAAGTTTGATTTGTTAAGAAAATGCTTGGCCACAGAGAAGCGGAACAGCTGTTTTCTAGCACTCAACTAAAGTTGTTTTAATTGTGTAATTAATTATTAACACGTTTCGACATAATTTTATAAATGTAACCTTCTTGTAAAGCTTCGCAACAACCCTGCTGGAAAATATTGTCCTTGTATATAATAGCCGTTGGATAGTAAGACTGCCAGCACACGGCCTTTGCAAGAAGGCTACCGAAGGCAAATGAGCTCTGAAATCCTTACAAGCCATTCGAGCCATCAAATATCCGAAATGACCGTCTTCATATCCCGTCAGCCCGTAGAACGATTTTCTCGTCAGTTTCTTGAGACCAAAAGACAGAGCTGATGTTTACATTTGTATACGAGTGACATTTGGAGAAGGAGCTCGGTTGAAAAACGGCTCAGCGATTGGCTGTCTGTTTGACAGAAAGTGAAACAAAACTACTTGCTTAGGTATTAGTCTTGTCCGAAATTATGAGAGTATATTGGTGAATCTATTAGCGCGCTGTTGCTGCGGAGATTTCAAGTGAAACCAACTAACAGACAGGGATAGAAATTATTGCACTCCAACGGGTATCAATTTTGAAAATAAGAAGAAAGACACCAATTTATCGATAGCGATGGGACAGTATGCAAGCACATTTCAGCAAAAGTATGTACAAGTGCATGTCAATGGCAAATTTACAAAAAAAAATAAATCTCAATAAAAAGAATCACAACATAATAATATTTAATGTAAGACAAGATGCACTTAAGGCTAACGCATCATGTGAAATAAAATGTGTCAGCTGGGCAACTTCAACAAAGTTCAGCCGCAGAAGTATACTAGAAACCGAACTAGCAAACAAAGTTACAAAAGAAGCTACCGCAACCATGCCAATAGGGTCGATGGGTCATTGGGTAGCCACACAATAAAAGAAGTGCTAAGCTCAGATGAAAACGCATTAGAAATAGGTATAGATATAACTAGGCCTCTTGAGGAGATATTGGTTTTATAAAGGCACCGAGATTAGAGGAAGAATTGTAGAAAGAAGAGTTTTTTTAGATGTGTGGTTCTCAATGAGGCAAAACCTTTTACGGACTTGTTCGTTTTGGTTAAAACTCAGTTTGGTTTGGCATTTCGTACTGAATAGAGCTACTCCGGAACAATGTTTGCAAATCATGCAAATTTATTATCAAAATAATGGTTCAATTCGTGCAACGCACCACCCGCTACGGTTAGTATAATCGCCCAGCAAACTCAGTAATTCGAGCACGCATGGAACGGTTACGAACCACTTTGATCCATAATGCGCATCCTCAGCGAAGCCGTACTGTTTAAACCGAAGATGCTATTGCTGCTATGTAGCAGAGCGCTACAATTGGAGCGATGCCCATCCATTTTATAAAAGATTTAAAATCCAAATCGTGCAAGAATTAGAGCCGAATGTTCATGAAGTGCGTTGCACGTTCGGTGCAGGAGTCCAAAAGGAAATGGTCTCCAATACCGATTTGGAAAAAAAAAAGTTGTGTTCAGCGCTGAAGCTCACTTTTGGTCGAATAGGTACGTTAATAAACAAAAATGTCGCAATTGGAGTGTTGATAATCCACCAGCCATTGCTGAGACTGCTGTTAAGTCCTCAAAAAGTTACTGTTTGTTGTGCTCTATGGGTAGAGGAAATCGTTGGTCCACATTTTTTCAAAAAATTAATCCGGCAATAATACCATGGTTCATTACTTTTTCGAGCCGTAATTGGTTACTTCCCGAAATCATTTTAATTTAAATAGTTTCATCTGCATATTTAATTATCCCTACAGGGACAATGTGTTGAGTGATTCTGTATATAAAGGAAACTGTTTGCACTCTATTAACTTAAAGATTAAAACATAAGTTATGTCGACCGACAAACCGGAACCGCAAGCAAACGCGGAACACATGGGAAGTCCTCTTGATGTGCAACGTCGCGATATGTTCACATTCATACGTTGGAGTCTCTGGTTTACCGCTATGTGTCGGCTGCCACTCGAATATTATTTACCAACTTCTCTTCGTTTTCTCGCCTCCACTTTGAATTGGATTTATGAAGTGTTTTTATACTTTACTATAATCCACATTGACATACTCTTCATGTGTACCATATATCTGTACAAGGACAAAGGTGATTTGGCACTTTTAGTGAATTCGCTCATACAAGCCATCATATTCATGTGGACACTCATCATTAAGGTGTACTTCAAGCGCATCAAACGTAAGAAAATAGAGGAGTTGATGCAATTTTTGAATAATGAATATCGTACGCAATCTGCCGCTGGTAGGCAATGAATTTTCTCACAATTAAAAAATTAATCAAGAGTGAATTAATTGAATTGAATTAAATTTAAGGTTTCACCTATGTGACAATGAAAGAAAGCGTCGATTTGTCAAATACTTGGACCAAAGTATTTTTGATTTCCTGTTATGTTGGCGGTGCGTTTTGGTTGTTTGTGCCCTTCTTGCGTAGAGATCGCAGTTTGCCGCTCCCATGCTGGTATCCGTTCGATTACAAGGTAAATTATTACAATCGAGAAATTCTTAGTGATTGCATTGAGACAAATACTTTTCAGTCGCCAATTGTTTATGAAAGCATCTACCTTTTACAATGCTTGGCTCAGATGCAAATGGCCGCCGCCTTCGCTAGTACCAGCGCTTTCTATTTACTTGTCGCGGTGGTCTTCTCTGGTCAACTCGATGTGCTCAATTGTAGTCTGAAGAATGTTATTGCTACCACGTATTTGAATTTAAGAAAACCTAAATCGGAGCTGATGTAAGTATGGTTTGCAATATTCCACATCTAATTTTTGTGTATTCCATCGCTTTCTTTTTTGCACCACATTGCGCACCTTTATTCTACCATTTCATCCTAACTTCATGCAGGGCATCGATTTTGATATTGTCACTTTTAGTTAGCGTCACCTTTCACCCAGGCAGGACAAAAATGGATCTTGAGTGGCACAGCTCGCTTCCTCTTATTTTTTCTTCTTCTTCTTCTGCATTGGCACCGATTGCGCGATTACAACCGAGTTAACAATGTCGTGCCATTCGATTCTTGTCTTCGGCATTTGATGCCAATTGGTTTTCTTTCGTCTTCTAAACACAGAGGACCATAAAACATTCACAAAACCTTTCTCTCGAAATTTTCCAGACTTATCAGTCAACTGGGTCAAAAGAAAGCACCTTTGGAAAAATGATTTTGCATTGGATTTACTTGCTGACTTTGTTGTTGGTGCTAATTCCGCTTCTAAGATAAGCATTAACCCTCTTGAGAGTTACATCTACCAACAGGGACATAGAAACCAAGGCGCAAAGTGCTGACTGTTTGTTTGATGACTAGAGATATTTCGTATTGTCCTAGTTCGCTACCGAACTTACTCACCTCGCTATCTTATTCAGCCTGGAAAAATCATCGACATACATCGGCACTACTATGATCTTGTAGAGGATTGTAAAATCTCTGTTTAGATGGGTGGACTGCCTGGGGTGTTGAGGTTTTTCATTGAAGCTAGTTCCTCCGTCTTGGATTCCATATCCCATATCGTGCTTCGAGAAGGCAAGAATAGAAAATGGAAAACGTTAAGGAATTACGTAGCAAATCTTAGTTATAGTTCTGGTGTTATTAGATAAAAGTCTAAGCTTATAAAAGAAATTTGTAGAGGCTTTGGAATGCTAATGCAGGTCCCAAAATAAGTCGGTTTTACAATAATAGCAACAATACTATACTTATGACTCTCACGACAGCAAGCGAGTTATCCCGTATTTTATCCGGTCAAGGGTTGTCACCATTTCGGCGACCTAGCCCCGGTCAGGTCATCGGGTAGTACTAGTCTAATACTATATGCAAATCCAGTATAGCGCGAGTAGACGACGGTATGCACAAACAATCTATCTAATTCGAAATAATCTGTGTTAATTCTTGTGAACTTTGGTCGGTTATAATGACTTTGAACTTAGACTAAGGCAATAGGATATGTCAGTTGGTAGATGAACCATCAGGAGTACGACGTTGTTGATTACCCACTGACTCAGGTGTTTAAAGTCCAACTATGTTCTATAGAACACCTGTGTCATATTCAGTTAACAGACGTCTCGAATGGGAAAAGTTTTACCAAAACGTTGTACTCAAAAATGATATGAAAGGAAGTGTTACTTAAATATGGTAATAATCTTCATTTGTTTTTTATTTACCTTTGTTCTTTTTTTTCTTCACATCGCTCTTAACATCCAGAAAACTTCGAGAAGAACATAATATTGAAAATTTCGAAATCAACCAATATTACTGCGCTGAAGAGCATAAAACCGATTTGGATTGCTTACCACATCTGTTGGATGGGGAAAATCCGGAACCACAAAACTTCTACGCCGCATTCAAACAAGCATTTAAACACTGCGTAACGCATCATCAATACATACTTTGCGGATTACAAATGCTCGAGGATATATACAGTTATTTATGGTATCTGAAAACTATGAAAGCAACGGTGTTGGCGTGTTTATTTGCGTTCGTTTGGGTTAAATCAACCGCAGCCAACTCGTTTCTCACCATTTTCTCGTTCAGTCAATATTTGGTCTTGGCTATATGGGAAATGTTCATGATTTGTTATTCGGCTGAAATCATCTTTCTGAATAGTCAACGCTGCGATGAAGCTCTACAACGCAGTCCATGGCATTTGCATGCGTGTGAAATTAAAAAGGATATTTTGTTCTTCATACTGAATGCCCAACAGCCTTTCCGTTTGACTGGTGGCAAGATGTTCAATTTGAATGTAGAGAAGTTTCGTAGAGTAATATGCGAGAAAAATATTTTTTTGTTGTCATATTTTTTAATTTTTATTGACTTTGCAGTTTTTATCAACATCTTTTTCGATTTTTACTAGTTTGCAACAGATGGACGAGAGAGAAGGTCAGCCGTAACAAGTTTTAAGTAAAGGATGTATTGTGTAATGACATATATACATATGTATGTATTGTATATGAAAAAGGTCATACTAAATATTCTTTTAGAACTCGCTTATCAACGCTCATATTAAAACAAGCAAAAATAAATAAAATAAATATTTAACTCGCCATAAACTTCATTTATTATTCTTAGTTAATAAATTTATATTTTAGAGAACAGAAATTTTGGCATAACATTATTAGCGATAAACCAGTTTGTTTATCTCTTCAACCCTCAGCTTTGAAGTGGTAGACAAAATCCACATCTGAAACATCCTTTCCAACAGGCGGTGCCTCTGACTGAGCAGGAAAAGTCTTTACACGACGAACGAAATCCAAACACTAAAAGTCGCAGTAGCTTAGCCTTAAAATTTTCCGAATGCTACGTTTTGTGAAGGAGTGGAATGCAGAGTCGTAAGGTATGCAGACACACTGTCGGTTTTGGCAATAGCAAATGCCTTCCAAATGTTTATAATGACATGCAGGGCGGACCAAGCCAAATGATGCTGCCTATGAAACTATCGAGGATTCATTTAAAATTCATTCACCCAGTTAAAAAAATGCTTTGGGTATGCTTCTCGGCATATGCAAACTGCTAAATAATTAATTAAATTTTTTCATATAGGCCACGAGAACGCGAGACGAAAATTCGTCTTATCCCAAATCAAAGCGAACTTTGCTGAAATTGAGGGGAAAGAGGTCATGTGACTTACTTTTAACCTAATCTATAAAAAATGTGAATCTTCGCCTCCCTCTTTGACCTATTTATTTATCAATTTCTTTGACCCAATATTAAAAAATAACATTGGCGGCCGTGGTAGCCGAGGGGTTAGCTCGGGTTTCAAATCCTGGTGTCGTACTAACATCCAAAAACCTATGGAAAATGACTTTAAATAAAAAATTAAATTAAATTTTCTAATTGTGGTCACCCCTCACCAGGGAATATCAACCTCACCGAGTGTATTTCTGGCATGAAATAAAAAGCTCCATTTGGTGGAAAAACATCAAGACGCATAACCACAGATTGGGGAAAGAGCTCGGCCGAAAATCGCTGCAGCGGTTACCCAATTATATTTTATATATAATATTAAAGTATATTAAAGTTAAATTAAATAGTAAAACTTTACCATTCCAATTCCTTACAATTTACCCAATGGGCTTTAAGCACAAGTGTCTGTAATAATATATTAATTTAATTTGAAAAGTTTTCACTTACAAATCTAATACAAAGCCATCAAACTTTCGTTCATAAAATAAGTTATTAGTGAGTAATTGTAGACACACGACATTTGACTGAAACCCTTTCATTACTGTTTCAATCAAAGCCCTAAAGTAGCCTTGTTGGAAAATATTATTTTTTTCTTTCGCTTATTTTGTTGAGCACGATTTCATCGGTCGATTAACGAAAATCAAATTTTTTTTTGGTAAAAATTATTTAATTTTATTATTTTTAAATGAAAAATTCCATTGAAAAACTTTCCAGGAATCTACAATATTTTATGATTTAAGTTACGAAAATTTTGTTCATAACCTCGCTTTTTCTGAAAAAGAAAAAACTTGTGAACCGATTTAGCGCTTAATTTTTCGCTAGAAGCTACCATTTTGGTCTATATATCTAGATCGAGATGTGAGACCGATTCATCGTGCTTATTATTTTAGCGGCAATTCTTATTCATTCAATTCAATTATTGAGGATTTGATTTGAGTTCGAAACTATTTGTTAATTTAACTAAATTAAGGAGGTATAATTTGTATGATATGTGTTAAATCTCCGAAGAAATATGTTATGTAATACTCTTTACAATAAAATATGTAAAACACGTGTGATTCACGGTGAGAATGCTGTCAGTAAACGCCGGACCCAGAAGTGCTTTGCTCTATTGGGTTTTGGAAATTCTATTGTCGAAGATACACTTCGCTCTGGCCGGCCAGACACTCGAAAGTCGACAAGAAACAAGAGGCATTTCGCACTTTAAACTTTAAACGCGTTTTTTTTTTTCGAAACTGTATTTTCAAAGTTGGTGGTGAAAAGTTCTAAAAAAAACTCCTCAAGGGATCTTCATTCGAATTTACACAGGTCTTCGAGATATAACTCACGCCGAAAATATAATACCAAAAAATCATTGCCAAAGGCCACTGACCTTACTCAAACGACTTCAGAGTCTGAATTGACTGCAAAAAGGTGATTCTGAGTGTATGTTGGGATTGGTAGGGAATGGTTCATTATGAACTGCTATAACCTGGTAAAACTATAAGTTCTGGTCTCTACTGTCAACAATTAATCAGCCTACAACAATCTCTACCAAAAAATGGGTTCAGTATTAATTAGTAGGTAATGTGTAATGTAATCGAAAGTCTGGCAGAATTTAACGGAGCTTAGTTGGGAAGTTCTGAGGCATCCATCATTTAACCCACCCCTTGCACCATCTGATTATTTTTTGTTTCAGTCTCTGAAAAATTTTCTTGATACAAAGAAATTGGAGGACTTAAGAGCCGGTCAAATTCTCTACAAATAAACCACTAAAGTACTATACTAATGAAGCTGCCTTAAATATAATATAATAAAAACATTCGTAAATAACATAAAAAATGTACTTGATGAAAATGAATTTTCAGTAAAGAACAATTTTGTTCACAAAAAATGCAAAAAACGCGTTTATTTCCATTATTATCGTTAAACTTTGGTTTTATGGAATGTACCAAGTTTTTAATTTAAATAACAGGCGAAATGTTTAATGTACCTACCTAAATATTCCTACTGAGCACACGCTCTTGCAGCAATCTTGAGCTGTTCTATAAAAAGAGAACACAAACATTTCTTCATTTTATTCATCAAAGGATTCTTAAACTCCAATGGCATTAGCGGATAGAAAGACGCCACCAACCGATACGGAGCACATAGGATGCCCAGTTTATAGTACGCAACGTCGGGATATGTTCAGATTTATGCGCTGGAACCTGTGGTTCACCGCTATGTGTCGCCTGCCACTCGAGTATTATTTTCCCACTTGTCTACGATGCCTCGCCAACACACTGGATTGGACATATGAAGTGTTTTTATATTTTACTTTACTACACATCGACATACTCTTCATGTGCACCATATATTTGAATAAGGACAAAGGTGATTTGGCACTTATAGTGAGTTGTATGATACAAACAGTTATCTATACATGGGCGCTAATCATTAAGGTCTTCTTCAAACGTGTCAAGCCTAAGCGAGTGGCGAAATTAATGCAATATTTGAATAATGAATGCCGAACTCACTCAGCCGCTGGTAAGCAATATCAGCGCGGATTTTTATATTATATTCCTTTGAATTAATTAATATATATTCTTAAGGCTTCACTTATGTAACAGTAAAGGATAGCGTCGAATTATCAAAAAATTGGATATCCATATTTTTGATTTGTTGTTATGCCGGCGTAACATTTTGGTTATTTGTTCCGATCTTTAATGCTGATCGTAGCCTCCCTTTAGCCTGCTGGTATCCAATCGATTATAAGGCAAATGTGAAAAAAGTGTTGTGGCCTTGAGCTTACAACATGAAAGTTTACGCATATTTTTGTTATTATTATTAATTTCAGGTACCCGTTATTTATGAGAGTATATACCTACTTCAAACCATCGGTCAACTACAAATCGCTGGAGCTTTCGGCTGTACAAGTGCTTTCTACTTGCTTGCCTGTGTGTTGTTCTCCGGCCAATTCGATGTACTCAACTGTAGTCTGAAGAATATCTTAGCTACCGCGTATATAAATTTAGGAAAGTCCAAATCGGAGCTTTGGTAAGTTTTATCGACATTTCGCACTCTAGATTTCTATTAATTTTACTATTTGTCGAATATTACATTATTGTTATTTGTTTTTGCATCTTTTTATTATAATAAGATTGCATTAAAAGCGAAGTGTCGGCAAGACAATTAAGGAGAAACTTTTTACTCCTCATGGCTAGCAGCTTTTATCACAATAAGCTCTAGATACTCGGGTGCAGTACTCGCTCATCGCTTCCTCTTCTTCTTCATTGGCGTGAGCACCGCTTACGCTATTATAGCCGAATCAGCGAGTTGCAGTTAGAAGTACGAAGTGAAATAAATCTCTCTCCTGATCCCTCCAGCCGAGTGGATTATTCCCCTTCCTCTGTTTCCATTGGCGGGTACTGCGTTGAATACTTTCAAAGCTGGAACGTTTTTAACAGAACGTCATCTTTTTTCATTCGTTGATCTATCAATGTCACCGTATGGCGCGCATAGCTCACCGGTCCATTGTCTGCGGTATTCACTCGCAGAGAATCAAAAATCGTGCGCCCAACTTTTCTCTCAAAGAATGACAAGGATAATTGACTTGTAGAGTTTGGTTTTGGTTCGTCGAGAGAGGACTTTACTTTTCAATTGAAGGCCCAGTCTTAAGAGTGATTTTAGGCTTATTATTGGATGATCTCCAAATAAGCGAAATTATCTTCGCCCCCGAACTTATGACAGTAGTCAACACTGAGGTAGGAGCCTAGATGTAACACTGTTTATTTGCTGACACGAGATATTACGTCTTGTCCTCATTTAATATCGGTCCCATTCCCTTTGCTTCTATGTATGTCAAACGTTCAAAGGTGTGCTACAGGCGCTCGTAGAAAGCTTCCTTGGTCACATCGTCCTTCTCTTTCGTCGAAGAATGGTCACAAATCAGCGATACATTAAAAAATTTTGCTTTGATGAGGATTGTGACGAGATGATTTTTGTTTAATTAAGGCAATTTTTGTTTTGAAATTTTCGATATTTCGAAAAAACTCAGCAGTAGAACAAAATTGATGCTAAAAGTGAGGAAAATTAATACAACAGGCCATTCAATTTTCGCCTGTTACACTCGAAAAGCTCGAATGCATCTTTCGTGTGTATAATGAAATATAAAAAAATGGTTGGAAATTCTCGCTGCTAAAAAGGGAAACCCATGTTACTCAAATTGTTTAAACAAAATCATGTGAGATACTTTTTTGTACATATTTTTGCACGAACTCACAATAGAACTATATCTTTATGGCACTCTCGCCATATATTATATCTTAAAACCCTAACTTGATTTTTCGAAGTTACATTTAACGATATTAGAATTTTCGGAGGTGGTGCGACTTATCACTCTTATTCAACCTAGCTGGACACCTTCAATTTCTTATTATAACAGAAGTTAAATCACAAAAGCTACCTGCCAAATGCCGACTACATAAAGATCAGACTTTCGGTTGGTTGTACCCCTTTTTTAAACCTCAGAGCCTCTCACAAAACATACCAAAACGCTTCATTAACATGACTTTAATGTTCCTCTTTATTATTATTTATTTATTTATTTGTTCAAACACACAACCGTAAGTTATTTTACATTGCTTGAACTTAATTCTAATAACTTAAAATAAATTTTATATTTTTAAATAACATCTTAATTGAAACATTAAGGTGTCCTTTTCTCTATAAACATCTTAATAACGTTAAGGGTTAGGGTTTTTAGTAAAACAAAGTAGTTTTTTCAATATTTGAAATATAAGTAAAAGCGTGCAGATTAGCAATTAATTGATTATGCAAAGTGATGTAGGAGCTCGTTTCTAAAGCACAACGTACTTCGAATGCTTTTGATCCTTTGCGGTAGAGCGTTCCAAAGACGAACAGCAAAACCAAAGAACTGACGTTCAGATACCAAGCAACTGTATTTCATGATAAATAACTTAATTTATCGGGTAGATCTAGTGAATTGAACTCATTCTAAGAGATATTTGGGCTCCTAAGAGCGATTGACTTTGTGTAGTAACATTAAGCACTTTAACTTCAGTAAATCGTCGAATTTTATGGAAAATAATTTTAATGCAAAAGTACTTACATATGTGTTCACCACGATTTACACCATATACATATCTGGCGATGTTATTGTAGAGGACATTGAGTTTACTACAACACAGACTGTCACAGCTGGCAAACAGTTCGCAGCCACACAGTAAACAAGAACAACAAGAATATTTTTGCTACTAGTAATCGAATTTTCAATGATGTGAAATGCTGCATAGTCCATAAAACACGAAGCATGCCATAAACCTCGCCTATTGCATTACAAAAGTTCTATTGAAGATTTATTCCTAGTTTTCTGGTAAGATCCACGAATTTTATAACAGTGTTATTTAGTTTCACTTCACGAGTTTGAAAGGCTTTTTGTAAATGTCAATGCACTGCACTTACTAGGATTAAGAAGTAAACCATTATCGCTCGCCCACTTGCTAATGTAATCTCAATCGGTATTGAGCTCATTAATGCAATCATGGACAGAGCCAAAAGGACAACTGACTTACGTATAATTGAACATCATCTGCATATAAATGAATGTCACATTATTTTAATACACTTTAAAGGTCGTTAACATATAAAACAAGCAGCAGCAGCCCAAGAATTGATTAATGTGGAACAACTTTAATTACGTGTATATGGTTCGATATAACGTTACACGCTACACATACAGCTTGCAAAAATGATCACAATGAGAAATGAAACAAATTACTAAGCTTCAAAGCTAGCAGTTCATGCTACACAGTATCAAAAGCTTTGAAATGATCCAATAGTGTTAATAACGTTACTCGATTTTTATCTATATTGAGCCTGATGTCCACCGAAACCCTAATTAGCGCCGTTATACAACTCCTGTTAGATCTAAAACCAGATTGCTACCGATTCACCAGCAGGTTTCGACTTAGGAAAGATTTTATTTGAGCGGGCATAATTTGTTCAAGTAGTACTTTAGCTAAGAAGGGCAGTATTGCGTTCAGATTTCTTATTTGATAGGATTTTTGCCGACTTCCAACATGGAGAAAAAAGAGACATGGTCAAAATGATGTCTAAGACATACACGTATGTTACATAAGGTAAAATTTGAGGCAGTAAACATTTAAAGAATTTAAGATGAACGCCGTCTATTATAATCGCATTAGATTTTATGCTGATGGCGGACTCGACAACACTCATCAATAGTTAAGAACGTGAAATCAGGTATCATTCATTCCACTGGTATAATTGCTGTACCTTTCCCTACATGTTTTACTGTTACAGTCAGATAATTGTACGAATTTTTCATTCAACTCGTCTTTCACGCATATAATTCCAAGTTTTTTTAAAGCCTATCGCTGTACCAAACCGATGCTAACAGTATTTAAGTTTTTGCTATTTAATGGCTTTGGTGACTTTTCTTCTATGAATCTTGAAAACGGTTGCTATAGGTTGCTGCACATTTCATATGTTTCCACTTTCGATTAGCCTTGTTGCCTTTATGAATAAGATCCTTACAGGCCTATTCTGTCGAGGTAACAAAATTTACTTTTAAAATTGACCATTCAGTAAATTTTGTTACCATTTCGTATTCTGAGCTCACTGTTACCCTGTAAATTTTGTTACCAGCGAAATTGGAGGTAACAAAAATATCTGCTGTTTGATTTTGTGTTGTTATTTTCAGAAAAAATAAAATCCGAAATGGGTAGGCATATTTTAGGCCTGGAATTCATTGAAGATGAAGAAAAAAGTGCAAAAAGCCGTGTTTTAAGAAGTTTTCGAGACTAAAAAATAGCCCTTTAATTTTTAAGATAACGTTTTCATTCAGCTTTTTTTGTTGTCCAGGCATATTTTACATAATTAGGTTCAAATATTTATGATTTAATATACAAATTAATAAAACTTTTTATTTTTTTGTCCACTATCTTCCACTTTGATGTGAACATTTTTCTTTTTACTTTATCAACTGGCAAATGTAATTTGACATGGACGAAAAAAGCAGTGCCGCCAAATTTTTTTGAAATATTGTAACCAGTTCGCCAGAATACCAAATTCAATTTCGGGTATTAAAGAAAAGTAACAAAATTTCCTTTACCGGTAACAACGAGAATAGGCCTGTTAGTATAATATAATTATTGAACCATTGTGGATTACGCCTGTTATTTGACTTACAATAGTTACGAGCGCCGCACATATTGCTCGTGTAGAGAGGCTTTCATAATTGATATTCATGAAATCTCTAAATGAAAAGGTATCTGTTTTAAAATCTGAATTTGAGATATCAAAAATAAGAGGTTTGGAAAAATTCGGAACGGGCAGCTGGTCAAACATTAGCGTTTTTGACTTATCACTAACAAAGAATATATCCAATAAGGTGCTAAATGATTCAGTGTAATGTGTAGGGGGATGAAGTATTCACCGGAAAAATACCCAGATTTTGCATTGCTTGGGATAGTTTGTTTTCAGTAAGCAAGTCACTAGTGAAATCTCCGCCTCTAACAATATGATTGAAGCTAAGACTAAGATTTTCGATAAAATCTATGAAATTGTCAAAAGCAATGTGTTTGTGAGGCCTATAATTAGTTTTTATTTCGACAAAGATGTATTCAATTTGCATAAAAGGTTCTGGTATACATACAATTCTACAGGACAAACAAGATTTGACAAACACAGCTACGCCTCCATCAGGTCCCAGTCTATATAAACGCAACAATTTATATTCAACATCAGCACAAAATAATTTTCACTATGCCAAGCAGAGAACCAAGACTCAGAAACACAAATAACATCAATAGCAGACGATTCAAAAATATATTTGAAGTTATCAATTTTATTAGGTAGGCTTTGTGCATTGAGTTGACAAATTTTTAAAACCTTATGCTGTCTACTTAGTATTCGCACTGTTGTCACAGTCTCTGGAACGAAAATGTCTGTTAAGGATCAAAACAGCCAAAATTCCGAAGACATTGCTCGCCAATATAAAACCAACCCTTACATTAGATTTCTAAGCAACAGCACATAAAGAAATAATAGACTAAAAGAGAAAAAAGATGTTCAAGTTATGTTAAATCCTTCTTTCAGCAAACTTCGCGACAAGCAATATATTGCCGACAAGGAACTCAATCAGTATTATTGTTCTAAGGAATACAAAAGCGATTTGGATTGCCTACCACATTTGATGAATGTGGCAACGCCGAAGCCAAAAACTTTATATGCCGCATTCAAACAGGCATTTATACCCTGCATAACACATCATCGTTACATACTTTATGGCTTACAAATGTTGGAAGATATATACAGCTTGTTATGGCTTCTAAAAACGATGGAAGTTACAGTGTTAGTGTGTTTGGTCGCATTTGCTTGGGTGAAATCCACCACTGCCAAATCATTTCTCAGTATCCTGTCTTTAAGTCAATATTTACTCTTAGCTCTTTGGGAAATGTTCATGATTTGTTATTCGGGTGAAATCATCTTTCTGAATAGTCAACGCTGCGATGAAGCTCTACAACGTAGTCCATGGTACTTGCATGCCAATGAAATCAAACAGGATACTTTATTTTTCATACTGAATGCTCAAAGACCTTTTCGTTTGACTGGTGGCAAAATGTTCGATTTGAATGTGGAGAAGTTTCGTAGTGTAATATTCAAATAAAATTTCCATTGTATTGTATTATTCATTTGTTGGTATAATCATAATATTTAGCGACTATTTTCAGATTTTAACAACATCTTTCTCAATTTTGACCATTTTGCAAAAAATGGATGTGAGACCAACGCAGCCGAAGTGACTTAATATTTATGGTTTATTTATTTTGGAGCGAATGGAAAATGTACTCGTGAACTGGCAATGAAATTTAAAATACATATATGGAATGCATTGTTAGTTTAAACTTATGCTTTTTAAAAATGCAACAAAATATACGATTTCCGAAATTAAATAGATTATCTATACCATAAAATGGTAATGAGTATGAAATGGTATCAATACCAACTTGGGTCTGAAGTATGTATGTATGTATATAGGTATATGTTATTAGCGCTTTGTAACCGGCCGAGCTATTCTCTAAATTGTGGTTTTGCGTCTTACAATTTTACCAACGAATTGAGGGAAATATATTAAAACCACTTCGCCACGGCCGTTGAATTTTTTGATTAGTTTTTCAGAAAGTAGGAGCATTCATAGACATGCCCTGCCTAGGGACGACCGCAATTAAAAAAATTAATTTTAAATGTTGGTCGAAGCAAGACTCGAACCTTGGCCTTCCGAATGGCAGTACGCAAAGCTAAACATGCGGATGTTGCGGACTCCAAGAAAAGCTAAAAGTACCAAAATGTATGCCGATCGATTCAGAACGATTAACCGATTCGTTCAGATAGGACAATTAATATTTAATACTATAATGAAATACCATAAATTTTATATCGTCATGACATGTATACAGATTTCGATATAGGCATATGTCGCTCTACTTTCTTGTTATATAGGGAAAGTGCCGCTCTTGGGTACATCTATTTAAATTTTGACAACCGCCGTAAGTACGAGTGATCTAAATGTTGTCAAACATGTAAGGTGAGTGCCATGTTTTTCCGAGCAGTGTTTTCATTGAGTATTGTGGTACATTTTCCAAGGATCGAAGAAAAAGTAATTACCATCTTGAAGCAACCTGGAGTGGGTACTTTTCTTCTTTTTAATTAATGGGTGCTTTTGGTTAAAGAACAACTTAATATCATTACTTCTATATCCAGAATATCTTTCATAAGCTCCCTACCATATACAATATTTCCAGTTCGCCTGTAGCAAGCGGCTACGTCAAGGAAGCATTCGATATGTGGTGGAAAGCCGATGCAAAGTTCCGTGCTTACTTCTTCTGGAAATATTGTTTCTTTGCCAGAGAGCGGATATACACGCATCTATTGCCCCCCATCAGAAAAGTGGACGAAAAGCAATACCAGCCAAATGATTACCGCCTGATGATGATCTGGACTTCTGTCTCAAACTCCAACGTATGCATGCCAGCTACTTCACATGCAAGCATTGTGCATCCAAATCCGAAAATGAAGAGAGCGATACGTAATTTCACTGAAAAATTTTAAAAGAAATAAATTTTCATTATCTCTTCATTTATAAAAGTTTAACGGTATGACCGGGTACAAGATTTTCTTTGCCAAAAAAGGATATTTCACTAAATATCTGAAACAAAAAGATTTTAGTTAGAAAAATCAGCATAATTCCTTCATTTCTTTTCATTCAGTATTTTGAACCAAAATGGAGACGGTGCCCACAACCGGAATACTTCCCCTGCTATTTTGGGTCTTCATGGCAAGGCCGCTAGTCTAGCATGTCTTCAATCAAATACTTCTTCTGACTTTTAAATAACTGACTGTAATAATATTATATGATTTTTATCGCAGTTTAGGTTACACTGGCTGATGGCGCAGGAAAAATCAGTCTGTATTGTAGAAGTCCAGCAAAGGAGCTGTTTCCAACAGTTCGCACTAGAGGACGAGGAGTGTCAGGTAAATTGGTGTTAGTGAATGAGCTAAGGCGTAGTTTATGTAGTATGGGACCTCATTAGGTATGTCGGAGTCAAGCCCGGGTAAGTAGGAGTTGAGTCTGCTACAGCATGCAGGCCCTAATTGTGTCACTAGTTGAGTTTTTGTATTGTCAGGTGCTGGTTCAGTTTAATTTGTCATGGCAGTAGCAAAGGACGAGGGTTTAACATTGCACAATAGCACGCTGAAGGTCCTAATTTTGGTCACTTCTCGAGAGGAAATGTCAACCATTAGGTGTGTATTTCTGATAAGATATAAAAGCTTCTTATAGCACATCATAAATTGAAAGAGGAACTCGGCCAAAAATTGCTTCAACGGTTACAAAGCGCCTACTATATATATATACGAGCACAAATTCCGTTAAACAACTGCACATTTCTACGCTATTCACCGTCTTTCAGTATATATAGCCTAAAATCTTCTTTCCAAGTCGAAACTCAGGTGTGTAAAGTGTATATTATTTGCTGGCTTCTTGAGTAATATCTGAAAGTTTTCTCACTTTTAATGGTCTGAGCATCTAAGTAAGTGAGAAGGTCGAGCAATAGATAGATGGCCCAACAGGCAGAAGAAATTTCAACAACTAACCAACTACGCCCCCAAAATTTTCGCAGAGGTTGCACCACCAACCTCAGAGCGGATTTCGCAAACAAATTTTCCCGAAAATTATTAATAATCGATGTAGATGTTGAGTAGACTTTCGAGTGGAGTCCTTATACAAAGTATGGCATATCAAAGTCATTACAGACATAATTACAAACTACCACTGTCCCTCATTGTACAAGATGATATAGAAACATATGTGCAAAATATTTATTATACGAGTTCCTTGAAGTTAGAGCCATGTTTGCATGCTAAGTTCTATTAATCAAACCTAACCCTAAATTAAAATGCCATTAGCTTTGTTTACGCCTGAAAGGTGTTAAAATTCTGTCACTAATGACCTTAGTAATTGCAAAACTCCGCCCACGAAAAGAAATGTTTGTTCAACGTAAGCACAGTTATAAACACTTCGACCGATACATAGTGACCCTATATAAGCGCGTTTTGGAAAGTCTGCCTTATTAGTAACGTAAAGTTGATACCGAAGGCGTTTAAGCTTACATTGAAATGATCTTAACCGACGCTCCCACAGCTCACGCAGCTGCTCAGCTCTGCGCCAGTCCCAACGGCTGCTTGTCGAATGTAAAACGTCGTGATCTATTTCGTTATGTGCGTTGGCTTATGTGGGGTGCTGCAATTCGTCCAATACCCTTCGAAAACCATCTGCCAAGGCGTTTAGGCAACTACAGTGCAATAATCAATGTTATTTTAGAAATATTTCTGCTCTTAACGGTTATTCATATATTCGTGCTGTTCATCTTGACGCTGTACCTCAATTACGGGAGTGGTGATTTAGAATTCTTCATTGGTTGCTCCATACAATCGATGTTGTACTTCTGGGCTATCATCATCAAGATTATCTTTCGTCGTGTACGACCCGAACTTGTAAGGGATATTATGGATTATGTAAATGAGAAATATATCGTACATTCAGCAGTTGGTATGTAGCAAGCAGTGGATTGTGTTGGTTTGTTTTGTAATCTTGACATGTGATTTTGATTTTTTGCAAGGCTTTACTTATGTGACCATGAACGAGTGCTTGGAGCAAGCGGAGAGAGGTATAAAATATTTCGTACTCTCGTCTTTAGTGGCCGTGATATTTTGGCTCTTTCAACCGGTGGTCTATGAGGAGCGTACGCTGCCGTTACCTTGTTGGTATCCTTTTGATTATAAGGTTGTTTTCACACTTTACTAAAGTGATTTTTATTTGACGGCATTTTTTTATTTATTTTATAAATTTTTCATCCAGGCACCCTTTATTTATCCGCTGGCTTACTTTCTACAAGTCATAGCCCAACTACAATTAGCCCTCACATTTGTCACCAACAGTATTTATTTCACCGTACTTTGTTTCCTGCTCTGCGGCCAATTTGATGTTCTCAATTGCAGTTTGAAGAATATTCTCGCAACGACCTACATTTTAATGGGCGCTAGCAGAAAAGACTTGATGTAAGTAAGATGATATGTTGCCATAGGCCAGACATTTTAGTCAAGGTTGGGTGTGAACCATTTTCTGAACGACGAAGACGTGGAAACTCTTCTTCTTCTCCATAATTTTTATAGGCGATTATAGTAATCCGGTAGTTTCTACTTTTCGCAGTTCAGCGGTGATTGGCGACTTCAAGGGAGTGGAGGTTTTTCTCTAACTCTGCTTTTCCCAGCAGCAATGTGTGCAATATATTGTAGAAAGCCTGGAATAGCCGCTCTCTCTTTATGCCCTGTACTAGTTTGATGTCTTGAGGAAGTTCATCCCTCCATCGTCTACGGTACTCGTCGTAGTTAGTATTCAAAATTGAATAAAGCCTTCGTAGAACCTCTCTCTCAAAAATACTGATTAATCGAAGAAAGTCTTATTCCACTCTTCTAAACCGTAAGCAGGACGGCAATAAAGAATTTAAGTTTTTATTTGTGGAAACAGCGCTTACTCCAACATTTTACATATCTAATCAGTCCGAAGCGACTAGTATGATTTTGTGTTGGATTTCAAGGCACAGTAGGGTCGATGAAGGCGAGTAGATACCAGAAATTGTTTACAAAATCAAACAGATCGCGTCAACAGTGGGGCCGAGAAATGAATGTGCAGACGAAATATCTCCTGTCATCAAACAAACAGCCATAGCATTCGCGACTCGGCATCCACGTCGCTGTTGACAGTCATAACTTTGAAGTCGCAGATAACTTTGTCTATCTTTCGATCAGTATTAACACCAACAAGAATGTCTGCCTTGAAATTCAACGCAGAATCGCCCTTGCCAATAGATGCTACTTTGGACTGAGAAGACAATTGAAAAGTAAAATCCTCCTTCGACAAACAAAGACCAAACTTTTACAAGTCAGGCAGCAATCCCGTACTGCTATTTGGTACCGAGAAATGGACAATGACAACATTCGAGAGAAAGATTTTGTGTAAGACTTTTTATGCCTTGAGCGGAAGCAACGACTAATACCGCGGCCGATGAAACGATGAGCTCAACGAGATGTGCGGCAACATTTACATAGCTCAGGAGACTAGCAGCTACAATAGCTAGAACATATGATCCGAATGGTAGAAAACATTTCAAATTTGATGGTTGTCGATACAATACCCCCCGGTGGAAGCTGAAGAAGATAAAGATCTTCATTAAGTTAGAAAGATCAGTAAGAGAAGATCCGAGCTGCTCTTGGTATTTCCAATTGGCGTTGAATAACAAAAGTAGGTAGGAATGGCGTACAGTAAATAGCCAAAGAAGATCGAAAAGAAATATTATGAGCAGCAACTTTCTTTAAGAGAGCAATATGAGGCTAGGCCAAAAATTAATATAGAACCTATCAGTTCCCTATCGAACTAGTCCTCGACTGCAACTTCCGAGATGTTCTCAACTCCGGGATAGAGTGAAATGTCTTTATTTTTGCCGGTGAACCCAGCAGAAATTCTTTTATCCTGGAATGCTTCGTAGTTAATATTTAACGTTCAAGCACCACCTCATCAAGGACTCGTACTACAACCGATCTACGACGAGTATATTCCCATACTCCATTTATCGGACTGAAAATGAGAACATTCAATGAATTGCTGAGCTCATTGGTTACCACATAAGCCTAACTACCTCTAGTTTCAGGCTGCAATTTTGCTTAAACCCTTGCAGAAAATAATAAATAAAATTACTCATACAATTTGTTTTTGCCCCTCGCCACTCCAAGTGAATTACGTGAACACCAGTGCAACGCAGACGACGAGATCAATCAATATTTCGTGGCAGAAGAATTGCACATCAACCTCGATTGCATACCACACGTATTAACTCCAGCAACCACAGCAGGGACGATGAATTTTCGGGATGCTTTCCATTGCGCATTAGGCCAGTGTGTTGATCATCACATTTTTATCCTGAATGCTCTGCGTAAAACTGAGAAACTCTTTAGTATGGTGTGGTTTTTCAAGACTCTCGAAGTAACCTTCGCTATTTGTACAATTGCCTTCGACGTTGTAAAGGTGAGTCATGTTTTATATACATACATATAGTTACAGTTATTATATTCAGTTTTTATTTCAACACTCTAGTCCACGGATGATAAATCTTTCCTGCAAGTACTCTCCTTGGGTCAATATATGATTTTGGTCCTCTGGGAGATGTTCATGATTTGCTATGGTGGCGAGATCGTCTATATAAATAGTCAACGCTGTGACTTGGCTCTTCTGCGCAGTCCCTGGTATTTGCATTCACGCGAAATGCGCGCTGAAATTCTATTCTTTTTGTTGCATGCCCAACGTGCTTTTGCTCTGACGGGTGGGAAATTTTATCCACTAAAGTTAGAAAAGTTTCAGGCGGTAAGTATAATCGGGAATTATTATATTATTATGTACATATATAATTGGCGTTTTGTAAACGCTGAAGCCACTGTCCACCGAGCTCCTAATCCAATTTGTGGTGAGCGTCTTGCTGTTTTTCCAACAAATGGAGGGCCGCCTCCGAGCGGTCGGTTGATTTTTTTGAGGAGCTCTTATTTGATAAAATTATATTTCTTATTAAAATAAATTTTTCTAATTTGGATATTGGTCTGGCCAGAACTCGAGCACCGGTCATCCGAAAGTTATAGTCAATCGTGTTGTAGTCACTTAAATACTCCACCTTCCATCCTTTGTACACTCCATTCTTCATTTAATACTCAATTCTTTTTATTTACAGATTCTTACAACATCTTTTTCGTTCTACACTCTGCTGCAGAATATGGATCAACGTAATTGAAAATTGTATCTAAAACTAGAAGACTAGACGACGAGAGGTCGAAAAAGCATTTAGCGAGGCATTAAGAGTAGGGAAGACTCTGGATCAGACAGAAAACACTTCAGTATAAAAATATATACTTTAAAGATCAAATAAATTTGATAAATTTCTACATTAAACATAATTTTTTCATCCAAAGACATCACTCTAAATATAAAGCTGATTCCAGAGGACCCTGGCCTGGGTGGCTCGCTGTGTAAACACTGAAAAAGAAAGGTTTGAGACATCTCTTGGCTATCTATTAGAAACCCATAGCTTTCAAAATGAAAGCTGTAATGCTTGGAAGGCTGAGTTGTAGTCATTTAGTTAGAGGATACCTCTGTTATTTGGATGGTCCTAGAAGAGCCCCGCTAATGTGCCTGTCTCATTATAGCAAAGTTGTTAAAGCTGCCATACATACATCATTTGCAAATTGATGTCAACGATGGCTTCCAGGTCCTTTGTTGAGGTAGCTCTGATCACGTGCGACGTACCTAGTAAACAGGTACAGATCACCTGTGCTGCTAGTACTCCGTATGCCATACGTTTTAAAGCAGGTATTCCAAACTCGGAAAGCTTTGCTTTCGTTTTATGTTCCCCCCAGCTATGTTTGGTCCAAAAACTTACCGCAAGATACACGTATTTAACCGAGTTGGATGGTATTAAAGTATTGAATTTTTTTCTTCTGCGTGAATATACTGACGATGGCTAGTCAAGCCATCGAGGCCATCCAATGGTAGGTTATATAGGTCTCTCAAGACAACTCGAGCTCTTCTTCTGAAATAGGTGGTTGTTGTAGTCCGAGAACGCCATATACTGAAAAGGAGTTGAAGAAGGTGTTGTCAGACTCTTTAAAGCCTGTCGGTACGCCGTCATGAGCAGCGCCACTTACGAAGGACAGTTGTACACAACGTTTCTTTGTCTTTTCCCCAGACTGCATCAGGCGAAGAATTTTAAAATTTTGTTGCGACTCTGTACCTTAGGAACAATTGCAGTCGTAAGTGGAATGAACGAGTGCACGCTGTCGAATGTGACTTTCAATAACTTTGGGTTGTTCGTTGTTGCAATATTTACTGCATCGACTTCCACATCGAGATCGAGGTGGTACGCTTACGTCCAGCTTGCGTAAAGGATAGCCGAGGATTTTGAAGGTTGTTGCAGCTGTAGTTATCGTGCAGTGGAGAAGTAAGAAAGGTCGGCGAGATAGAAGTTTACTTTCGAACAGAAGTCATCAGCTTCCTAGTCAGTCACCTATATCGAGCAGTCATGTGATGGTCATCACTTAGTGTGTGAAGGGCGGGAGGAGGGCCTCAGGGACAGGTAAAATATCGGCCGATATCATTACCTCTTGTTGGCTGGTTTCCTCGGTTTAAGTAGTAGTAGGACCACTCTACCCATCCACATATCGGATACTATAAGGGTGGTCAAAGACAGAGGCTGGTCCCAGACGTTTTAACATCAGCATACTTATACTTTTCATCTGGCTCCCGCGTCTCGTCGGGTTAGACAATGTTTCGGCCATTGTGCAGAGCTTGGTTGCCCCAAAGGAGAGGTTGCAGAACCTTTAGTGTTCCTTCCACTTGATATGCTTATGTGCCAAATATAAATATGTACTTCCTCCCCTAAGGAGATCCCCGATAAGTGCATTTCTGGGGTGTATAATCGCGCTTGGCAGCTAAAACCACCTTCAGTAATTAGAGCACACTTCAGCTGCGCGGTCTGCCGAGATGACGTAGTTGGAGTGGCAGAGTACTGAAGGCGTTTTCAGTAAATTCCGTGAAGCAGGGCTGACCAGATTTTTTCGTTAATGATGAAATAGGGAGGCCTGTCAATCGAGACAATAATGGGGGCAATTATTATGATGCTAGCGTCAGCATAAATCGCCAGGTTAATCAGACCACTGTTACACATGATAGGTGGATTGTGATATGTTTTCCCGAAAATAGGTTGAAAAGATCAACGGCGTAGTTTGAATAATAATTATTTTAAATGAAATAAAAATCGTATGAATTTTTATTTGCGTTTTTTTTTTGTTGTTTTTGTATTGTATATTTTGGTATATTAAATAAATTTATATTTAAATAAAAAATATACATTTTCACAAATGCATTCTTCTACACTTTGAATGAATTCCAAGACATTAATTTCATTATTTGTTATATTCATTATAATAATCAACACTTTTTTACGCACTTTTCGTTTATCAATTTTTAGTTTTATCGTCTTTTTCGTCTTTTACTCAAATGAGGAGAATAAATATAAGAAAGTGTTTGGAGCTTTAATCAGTGCGATAATAAATAATTTAGAATTTTTTCTTAGTTACTAAAATGTGAACATTTCTGATAAATACAAACAAACAGGTGAAATGATATTTATGTACATACATAAATTCATCTATATTTACTGTGATTTTTAAGTATTCTTGTACGTATTAAAGTTTATTTTTAGGCGTTAAATGCCAGCGAATGTCAGTAACAATAAAAAAAAATCTGGACCGAAGTGTACATTCAAGTTCATTTTAAAGATTTTGAAACCAACAAATAGAAATCAGCATAGAAAAATTTAATTTTTGAGCAATTATGTGCATGTACGAGGGGATTAACAAAAGTTCAGTCAGTTGGTGACTTTCAATTTGTTGCTGTTAAACCTAAAAATACCAAATCCTTTGCAATTACTTTAATAATCTTCCTTTCAAATTTTAGAACGATTGGTTAAAATGGAGACGAGAAAACGCAAATTAGCTGAAGATGGGTCCGACGAAATTCCAACACCAACGCAGACAGAAATTCGTCATGTGATTCTCAGCAGGTTTCGGCATAATTTACAGCCAATGCAAATATTCAATGAATACCAAACTCAATATGGAAAGCTTGCACTGTCTTTAAAAACTATTTCTAAGTGGCTCTGAGGATTCCAGACCGTGCCATTTTCCGTAGAGGACGAGCCCCGAAAAGGTTGCCCAAAATCTTCCACTGATGACGTCACTGTAGCTCTGGCGAAGTACAAAACGACGAAGAACCACGATTGACACAAGAAATGATTGCTAATGTATTGGGCTATAACGCGAATATTAAGTTATCATCTGGGATACACGAAGAAATCTGCTCAATGGGCACCATGAATTTTAAAAGAGGCCCAAAAAGTGGCTCGAGTGCATTTTGCTCAATTTTTCCTAAACAAATTTGAAAACGGTCAGTCTAGTAACTTTAGTAAAGTCTTGTTGTAATTGTTGTTGTAGCGGTTCACTAACACCGCTTTGTTACAGGTTTGATCAATCTAAGTCGTCGAGGTCATTTAGCGGAAACCTAATCTCGTTTAGGTAAACAGGTAATTTTAGTAATGTCGTTACTGGTGATGAATATTGGTTCTATAAGAATGATCCAGAAACCAAACAGCAGTCTATGGTGTGGAGCCCACCAGGAGCAAACTCATCCGTAAAACCTAAGCAACGAAAATCAGCAGCAAAAGTAATGATGTCAGTTTACTTCACCCGATCTAAAATCGGAGCTGCTATTCCACTGGAAAGGGATCAGACTGGTAACTGCAAAATGGTATACCGAAGAGTGTGTACCAAGAGTTTTCAAAATCTGGTTGGAAAGCAGGAAAAAAAAGTGTTTGCGACGCTATTTTTTACAATTTGACAACGCCCCAACTCACACTGTAGAAATAACGAGTAAATTTTATTGTGATCTCTGGGATCGAAGAAATACATTCCTCAAAGCACCTTGTGATTTTCGGTTATTTCCAAAAATTAAAAAAAAAATTTTAAATGGAATGGACTTTAATACCAACGAGAAGATTAGGAAGAATTAATACGGTTAATGCTGAGCTTGATACGCTTAAAAAGTAAGATTTTGTAGACTGTTTTCAGAAGTGAAATCAACGGCGATTATGTAGAGAAGATGAAAAAAGGACAAATATTAAAATACAAATATATTATTTTTCTGGTGAACCGAACTTTTGTTAATCCCCTATATATCGCATATGAATAAGATTTCTGCACGCCACGAATTTTTTCAAATGTCTTTTATTGTGAATTTGAAGAATCATTTAACGCGAATGAGCTGTCAAAGGCGCCAGACAATTCTTGTATCTCAAAGAAGATATAAAAAAGGTAACCGCTTTTTGCTTGCATTTTTTCAATTGTTTTTTTTTTTTTTAATGAAGAATGGGGATGTACCAGCTCCTGGTATGAGCCTATGAGCCATTTGTAAATGCAAAAGGGATAACAGAATTTTTCTGTATTTCTTTAGGCAACGTTAAACATTTTAAAGAAACTATAATTAATAATTTTGTGCATTAGTTGACAAAAAAAAAAAAAAACAGGTCAACAAATTTTTCATAAATAATTGTTTAGAAGGTATCGCTAAAAAAAAATCTGCGATCTGATGTACCGTTGATCATCACTATGCAACTACTACTACTACTTTGTTAATTATACTTTTTATTAAACTATAAAATTATTTAAATAAATTAAATTTAATTTAATTGAAAGCGTAATGATGCTCGTATGTACACATACATACATACATACGAGCAACTGTAATTACATAATATGTAGATGTTTACGTAAATGTACATATAAAACATATAGTACGTACATACCAATGAGTATATAAACTTATAGAAATTTGCAATTATTAAATATATATGTATGCATTATTACTTTGTTATTGTTGATAAGCGTTTACATGTGTGCCTAGATTAAGAATTATGAATTAAGGTACATGGGATATTAGAATGCAAAAATTTGTGTACACCTACATACATATGTATTTAATAATGCACAATTTGGGCAAAAACAAAATATATATATACATATATATGTATGTATATACAAAAGCAAATTGTGCTTTATCTCCTTAACTACTTTTGTTTTGATTTAGGTCTACATTTCATGGCCTCACTTCCACACAAATGGGATTTATTTTTTATTAATTTTTAATTATTTTATTTCTTGTTGTATTTATTTTGATTTTATTTTTATTTCTTCTTTTAATGTACACATGTATATTTATGCCTTGCATTGTATTTCACAAAAATTTACGCTATTTGTTCAGATAGCATTCACACGTTTTCAAAAAATATTTATGTACTTTTATTAACTATTTTAGCCTATTAATCATATTTTTGTATACGCTTGAGTTCAAGTTATTGTTACGTTTTTTTATTATGTATTTTTTTTATAATTTTTTCTTAACAAATTGGTTACATTTCGACAGGTTGGTTAATTTTTAGCGCATTTTTAGTTATTTCTTATAATCGTTTTTCGGTTTTGTGGAAATGTATGTTGCTATACTGCCGAGAATTTTTTTTATATTTTTTTATATATATTTTTTTTTAATTCTTTCTATACCAGTTTTAGCTAAATTTTATACACAATTTTTATGGTAGAAAATGTTTGATGTGAATGCACCGTTATGTACGTTTCAAATCTTACTATTTTCCAATTTCTGTTAGAAATGATAAAGCAAATCACTATTTTTTTTTTTTACTTTTAAATTTTTTTAAAATTTCATTTCTTTGTGTTTTTTCTTTAATATTTCAAATAACCAATTTCACCACTTCTTTTTAAATAATTTATAAATTTTCAATATTTTCATTACTTTCCTCAAACAATCAATCATTCATACCATTCATTTAATATATATTTATTTATATACTATATATATTTATATATATATATATATATATGTGTGTTTGTGTTTGTGTACATGTATGCACATGTGTGCGCATGTGTATATAATATCTGCTGCAGAGCCTGTTTTTAGACGAATTAGTTAGTCTAAGGCTTAGCGAGAACAGTCAGGCAGCAACAGCAGCAGCAACAACAACAACCCAACAACAAGTGACGCAGCTACCGTGTTTTTTGCAACAACAATCAATCTTACAAATATTTGAATTAAAAGAAATGAAGTGTGATGTTATCGCTTGTATATGTAAACTATTACAAGAAAAAAAAAAATAATAAATCATCAACAATTGATTCATTTATGCTCATTTACATATATGTATGTACAACGTACAACAATCAGCGTCTACAAATTCAAGCGCCATTAGTTTTAAATGCAGCACGTTTTTAGTAAAAAATCGTTTAAATTTACATAATATCTTTGTTGTGTGCGAAACGTTTGTCTTGTCTCATTCATAATAAAATTATTTAGAAAAAATACTATTATTATATTTACTATGATGAATACAAATGTAACATTGCCGCTATTTAATTGAACATTTGTTGTGGGTTTACCTAAAATTATTGTTGATGTTGTTGCTAATAATGCTACTATTGTAATCGTTGCTGTTGCTCTTATCGTTGCTAATATTTGATATTTTACATTAGTGCAAACACTTGGCTAGCTTGCAACCGGTATAATTGTGCTATTATCATGATTATAATGCTCCGTGTTGACGATGACTTGCACCACATAACCATTCTGTATGTTACACTCATCTATGGGCACTTTGTCACCAAGTAATTTACCACTGTAGAACCAACGCTGACAGCAGGCGTCAATGCCCTCCGCAGCCTATGAGAACAAAACCAAATGGAAATTCAGCATAATTATTCACAATCGAGTATGAGTATTTGAGTGTCTCATTACATACCTGTAATTTCTTTTTACACTGTCCAACAGTGTCTTTCGAATATACTGCTAATTTAACATCCGACATTGTGGATGATATTCGTAGTTTTAAGAATACTTCAGTGCCACCATCGACGGGCTCTGAGAATTCTGCAGGTGAATCGCGTCCACTCTCCTCTTTTACAATATTTATAGGATACGATAGACAATATATGGGCACTTTGTATTGTGTGCCGAGCTCATCGTAACATTCTGTGAGGTAACTATGGAATAAAACCAAAAGAAAGAAGGCCATTAAGATAAAAAACATATCAAAAATTCAAAAATATGGTGTGTATATTTAAATTTTTGTTGTTAGTTAAGCTAAGAACTTGTGTTTCTCATTCAACGCTACGTCTCCAAACCCAATAGTGGACCAGCGGTAGGGTCCCTAGCAGAATTTATAGGGCTAAAGTTTTTTTTCACAAAATTTTAAGGTTTCGATTACATCATTTGATGTTAAAACAAAGCTGTTGCCTACATTTAGGGGTGCATTAATCTCAGCGCTCCTGAATGTAGGCAACAGCTGTACGAAATTAATGAATTAAGAATGCAGATACTCATATAAAATAATAAATTGCTAATAAACGCCCTAAACTACTATATTTGAATGCCTTCTACATAAATAAACCGACAAAATTTGGCAGTTTGACGACAGAAATTACTTAAATCTACAGCTATAATTCTTCAATTGTTTTTGTTTTAATGGTTCTAAAACTTCGCTTAGGGGCAGGTCATCGTCATAACCTAAATCGAGGTCCCGGAAACGAGAAGATTCGACGTGGTCGAACCAGAAGGAAAGGGGGTTACATGGGTAGGTTGTAGGGGAAATGCAGAGGTGGTTATTGTCATACGGCGTTCAATTGCACGTAGGGCATACGTTGCGTATTTCGGAGTCAAGTCTGGATAAGTAGGAATTTAGTTGACTACAATATCCAGATCTTAAATGTGCCGGTATTTCTTGAGTTTGTCAACGCATGACACATGCTCCTCTTGTTATAGTAGCGGTTCACCAACCCTGCCTACGCACAGAAAGCGAGCCGCTTCGTCTGGTTCGGACCAGAGACAGATGAGTTTGCTTAAGGGGGAATGCAAAGAAGTGGTGAGTGTAGTTCGGGGATTCGATGCAAGCAGGACAAAAGTTAGGTATGTCACGAAGTTTTTCGAGTCAACTTGAGCTCTTCGTCTGCTAGAGTTGAATGGCGTTTTTGTTGGGCAATATAATCTTTAAGTCGAGGACTCCCTTTCTGATGTACTTGGCTTCGGGTTCGAATAAATGCCTGCTGGTGTGCCCTTCGATAGCATCACAGGAGAAACTGATTGCACAGGAATAGCGTAGATACTTCGCTATGCAAATGACGCATCTGAAGGTTTACCTGTCAGGTTCTAGCTGTAGATGTTTGGAAGTGAAGATATAGAAAAGGTTGGCTTTAAAGCAGTTTACATTCGAACCTTGTTTGATCTCATGGAGTTTAGAAGTTGAACCTCTAAACTCTACCGATAACTGTTGACCACTCAGGTAGCGCATGGTTCACCACTTCAACTGCGGCGGTAAAGAGATATACTCACTGTCCGATTGAATAGTTGAAGTTGTCAAACGCTTGTGACAGATCCAGTGCTACCACCAGAGCGGTTCGTGTACAGGACGATACCCTTGTTTGTTATTCTCTAGGGAAACTTATATATATGTAACTAGGAAATATTTATACGAAAAAAAACGTGTATAATTTAGGATATTTATATTTAATTATATCATTAAACATATACCACCCAAACCACAGTCGATAGATGGGGACATGTCTAGAAACTTACGCAAGTGAGGAAAGTTTTTGACTGTCTTTCATCTGGGAGTGGCCAGAAACAATTTTTTTTTTTTTTTTGTGGTGGATGTCCTCATAAGGTTAAAGACTGATATCTTTACCGTCCAAGTCATACGATGGACGGGACAAGGGCGGAAGTAGATGGGTCCTTGTGAAATTTACTACAGCGGCCATATAAAGGAGCGCAAATAACCCCTGCGGGTTAGGGGCTCAAGAATTTACCCGCGGTAAGGCATACCTGTCGTAAGAGGCGACTAAGACAGTTCCCGCGACAGTCGGGTCTTTATACCGGAACGACCCGCAGGGGTTTTTTATCCGGCCAAGGACTGTCACTCCCGCAAAATTCCCCAAAAAGTACTTTAGGGAATAATTTGCGGTTACAACAACAACAACAGGAACGCAAATTTAATGTATCAAGTGATTTAGACGTGCGTACGTTCCGAGGCCCTAATATCAACTCGGATCACTATCTTGCCGCAGCGACGATACGCATCTGCCTCTGTGTATCCAAGAACGGCCGTCAACAAACAACAGGAAGGTTCGACGTTGAAATGCTGCAATCACAACAGACTGCCGACCTGCTTTCTGAGAGCATTAAATATGTCCCACCAACACCAAAGTGGAATCTTTATCACTAACTACCCGGCCAGGGACAATCACTCTTGCAGTATTTCTCGAAAACCAATTCGATTATGGCATTACTTTGCTCTCTGATAAAATCAGGTTAAATTTCTTGGATTATATTTTTCTAAAATAATTAAAAAAAAAAAATAATAAGTAAAAAAATATGCTTAGTTCACTTAGTTTATCAAAATATTAACCTTACGCGATGATAACCAAATGTATTTACATATACCAACATCATATTACAAATTGAAATATGTGTACATATATATGTATGTATTTATTTTCGTATGTATGTACACCGGAAAGAAACTACTTGCATAGCCAGTGAGTGACCTTGCCAATGTGCGTATGCACATGTATATGTAGGCATGAATGTAACACATCAAGTGTTGGAACAGGTTACGGCATTTGATGTGTAAAATTCTTCACACCACCTGACAGTGAAATAGCATTAAAAATTTATATTTGTATAGACACTAATACTGATAATACATTAGGGGAATGTTCTAATTGTCTGCAAGTTTGTCCATTCGTCCATTGATTCATTCCACTGAAAATGAAATCAATAAAAATGTCATGCAATTTTAATATCAAAATGGAAAAGTAACACATTAGCCGGACGGTGTTCCTCATTTGTGAATAATATTATCATATAATATTATATATATATATATCTATATATATATAATATGCGTTATATATATATATAATAAATTGTGAGGAACTCACTTGCACTAAATACTCTGTAAAATTTAAATAAATTATTTTTTTTTGTAATTGAGCGTAAAACGTTAACATACTACAGTATATACATTAAATATTATAATATAAATTAATATTTCAATAGTAATTATACTTATTTAAACCCAATTTCTTAATAGCGAGACATAATAATTTACAAGAAATTCATTTTCTCTATGAAAATTGCTATGTGTGATTTAAAATTTTTGAAAGCGAAAAAAATTATCTCTTGAATTTGTTTAAAAAATTGTTTTAAATGCAATTTTTATCAGCATATGTATTTTAATGTCAATAAAAAAATGCATATACGCAATACATTCATATGTACGTACATATTATATATTAGTGGTATTAAAAAGTAATCCATTATTCCGCATGAAATTGAAGGCTTCAATTACATTAGTTAGAATGCTCGGATTCAGGTCAAATATGCGTTATTTTGTTCGATAGCTCGTTGCCATTTTAAAGGTAATTTCATTATACTTCTCTCATAGAAGCGCTCGTTTCTATTGGGAAAAATTTGAGACAGTCGATTTTCACAAGCCTATCTCGAAGCGAATTTGTTCTGTTACAGGAACAGATGGCAATCACTTGGTGCCAGGTCCAGACTGTAAGGCGGATGCATAAGAAGCTCCCCGAGCTTTTGGCGAGTCACTATCGATGTGTGTGGACTGGCGTTGTCCTGATGTCACAAAGCTGGCCGCTTCTGGTCGATTGATTCCTTCATACGGTGCTTTTGTTGACAATACAGTTCCTAAGAGTACGGCCGGATGGAAGCAGCTCATAATAAACAATTGCCTTCCAATGCCATCAAACACACTGCAAAACCATGCAGGCCGGCAATACTGGCTTGGCCACCATTTTTGCTTGATGTTGTCGCGTGATTGTCTTTTACAGTGTCAGGACCATAAACGCTTGTATTCAGTGGCTTGTATTCACATTTTCAGCCTTCTGGCTTGCGTTTTCGCCCTGTTCGAAGAATAAATGAATAATATAGCGTATTTTCTCTTTGCTAGTGTCCACCCTTGACGCACAAAACCGATCCACCCAATAAAAAAGGTGTCAGGGACCCTTTTTTAGTACGAAATGGCTTCTTTCTAACGCCCGCGGAACCCGATCGGACTTATATAACCAATGCGAGATACAGATAAATAACGCCATCTATTGGAAATATAATGGATTACTTTTTACTACACCTAATATATGTACATTAATATGTATTTCGTTTGCAAACATTGGATGCAATATACATACATATATAATATTTTTCTTCAAGACTTAGTCGTCAATGCTATTTTAAAATTTATCTTATCATTTCATTTTTAATTTCCTTATTGAATACTTCTTGATGTCATATAACAAATACAAGAAAAGCAATTAAGGTGCGAGCATATCTCCATTTTATGCAGACCAGTTGTTTCAGTGGCTTGTATTCTACCAATTAGAAGTAAAATGTATTAGCGAGAGAAATAATAATCAAAGCAACGCGGTAAACTGGCTGAAGTCATTGTGGTGTTACCGCTAAAAAACTTACGATTAATTTCAAATTTAAATTAAACAACGCTGGCTCTTAGCAAATGGCATTCAAAGAAGAAATGAAAAAATGTATATGTGAATATAATAGTATGCTCACTCGAAAATAGTCGAAACAACAAATTGCCTATTTTATTAGCACTAGAAAAACTATTATTCACTATAAATATAAATATAAATATAAATATAAATATAAATATAAATATTAGAGTATATATAAACATATATTTAGATGTGTGCTTACACACTAATCGAATCACGGCCCAGCTGCTGCTTGTACAAGCGTTTATCACCTGATTATTAATTGAATGTAAATGTAATTTGTATATATCAGCAATTTGAATTAAGCAAAATTATAACGCTATCGGAGGAAGTCGATAAATTCTTACTAATAAAATAGTAGAATTTGTTTATTTATTTTAGTTTAATAAATAAATTACAGAGTGTTGGGAAATTATTCATTTGAAACCTTGCCATTTAGCTTAGTATGTCTAACTTAATAAGCGACTATATTCCAAAAATTAGCACATCAGACCATTTTGTCTAGGAGTCATTATTACATGGCTCAAAGCTACTACTTTCAGAACCACGTTTGTTCTAACAAAAAAAAAATGCAAGTAAATTATGTAAAAGAGAGGATACTCCTAATTAGTTACATACATACATACATATGAATGGAACTACACAAACTTCACATTAAGCATTTGCCAGAAATGATTATATGTACAAAGAATACACCAACGTTGATGGTTTTAACGATTGTTAAACTGATTATTATTTGTGTAGTGTTGCATGACCCGCTACTAAACACAATCGCTGTTTTGACTAATATACTAAAGTTATCTACATATTGATTTTCATTGCTTTTTCATTTTATTTCTATATAAGGAGGTTACATCGAGTCGCAATGGTAGAGAGGTTCAAAACAAAAAAGAAATATTTAAATAAAACCAAACAAATTATATACGAATTTTTCCACAAACTTTGATATAGCATGCTTCAGCAGAAGATAAACATTTGTAAATATGTCTGTTAAATGCTTATTGGTTACGCAGGAAAAAGAAAGGTAATGTATATAAAAGAAACATATTACAAAGTCATATATACATATTTACAGAGCATGACGTCTTCTTTTTTGAGCCGCAGTGGATTTTCCTTGCGGTTTTGGCTGATAGCATTCGAGAAGTAATTGCTGCAAGTGTTTTTCACTTGCAAGTACTCTTTTATCATAAAATTCTGCGAGCATACCGAAATGTGCAATGGTTAATCACACAATTTAATAACTATGTAATATTATATTTTAAAACTTTTTGAATTTTGAAACCTACCCATTCGGCACGGATACATTTGCTCCGTCAAGTATTGCCTGCGCCATTTCAAAATTCAGCTCTTCCGCCGCATTTGTTGCTGCCCGCAGCGCATCCCAAATTTCTTTTCTACCATCAAATGCGGGCGCAGTATCCCAGAATTCATCACGCTTTGAACGCAATTGTCCTTCAGTCAATGGCACATCAGAACGCCAACGTATTGTCTCATTACACAGCGGACGATTTTTGCGTTCCGGACCCATTGCACGGCCGCCTAAGTACAAGGAGTTAATATATGTAGTGTGTTATTTTTATATTTAGTTTATTCATGCAGATATAAAAATTAGCACAGTATATACACTTACCAGCGCCAGTTGCGGGTCTGGAAATGCTTGCTGAAGACACACTGACAGTCTCATTGTCCGTGTTGTGTATGCCAATGCAACCACCCATATTTTCACATATACTTTAACGTGTTGCGCGTTCACCAAAACCGCGTACTTGGACCGGAAAACACGTTCGAACACTTTACCGTGTATGAACAAAAGTATTGAAGCCAATTAATTTGGAAATGTGATTTTTATTGTCATGCGTTGGGTAGATTGCGATTTATATCGAACAACCGTGATTTTTTTGCTTTAAATTTTTTTGTTATATTTCTAATTGCTTTTTCACTGTATCACCATTTTACTTTTAGGCATTTTAAATCATCTACGTACTTTTCTGATTTTCACTTGGCCTTTGCCTTTTCCACAATAATTGCAGCCGCGTGAACGAAAATCTGACGCACTACCGATATGCTTTTGATGTAATATAATAAATGTAAAACATTTAATTATTAAAATTTTGTAAAACAAATCTTTGATTCTTCACTAATAGTTATTTTATACATTCCAAATTCTTCACAAATCATTTCCGCAATGTATCCAACAATCTCCGCTGAGAATTTTTTTATTTTCAACTATTTCAATTCCATTTCTTTATTTGACAGCTCAACACAGCGTAGCCACTTAGCGGCATTTACCATTTTATAGTGTCAAAAAACATCGAAAAAGCATTTAAGAAAATCCACTGTTAGTTAAACATTGAGGAGTTTTCGATGATTTTCATAAAGCGTAAAACTGAGTTTACATGAGGATACTTTTTGTTGCTTATTTTTCACAAACGTTTTTTGATATGAATAAGAAACAAAGAACGTAAATGAATTCATTCTTCGGAAGCGGCATGACGGTGTCTAAATTGGCTTTTTCAGAAAGTGCGTAAATTGAAGGTCCAATCCAGAGAATTTGAAGACACATGAATGCTATGGGTTGAAGGAAGAAGGGTATGCTAACGCATGTTGTTGCTTCGCTTTTGGACTTTTCGCGACCATAATGAAAAATTTAGTTCATTCATCCCTTTTCTTCAATCTAAAAAAAAAATTTAAAATAATATTTTCCTTTATTATGATTGTTATCAATCATCTAAAAATTCGTTCTCTGAAGTTAACAAATAACAATTTTATTTAAAATCTGAGAATTACTTTTCTGAACGTATTTAATTCTACTACGCTCAGTAATGGTATGCATCAATAGCAAACTCTGTTAGTTTCTGGCGGCCTGTGGTGAAATGCATCCATCGTAACTTCGCAGCTTTTGACGATTTCCACGCTGCTTCGCAATTGAACCTTCTCCAGAGAACTTAGTATTTATGTTCTCTGCAGTAATTTCGCATCTATTTATATTCGTCGACGAAAAATTACGTGAGGAGGGCACGAATTCCTGAGATTGACTCTACCGCATTTGCATAAACAGCGAATGAGTCTTGTCGCTTCTTATTGGTATGGGCTTTGAGATTTTCTGAATGAATGATAATCTGCAACACTGAAAATAACATCGCACACACCACGAGGTGAATTCTTGTTGGTAACTCCATTTCCTTTGGTTTGACGTATTGTGGCATTTTATTTGGAATTATTAACCGTTAAACTCTTATTATCGGATTATACTGTCTGTTTTCGTTAAGTTAGTTGATATAGAGTTCTTTTGGGACCAGTGATCGTAAGACAGAGTGAAATGTAGAGAACTAATGAGGAAATGCGATAAAAGAAGAAAATTTCCAATTGAAACCTAAAGCAGAACAGCAAAAGTGGAAGATTTACATTTATTCCATACTCCATATTATTTTTCAGTACTAAAGTAATTGAATGAAAATGGTTTACATCTTCATAATAGCTGGGATGGTTAAGGGGAGCATTAACACCAGTAGACCTGCGTAATAGTCAAGCCCCTAATGAAAACTATAATTAAATCTTGTGCTCCTGGTGGGCGTTGGGACCTTAATGACCTAATCACGGTCGAAGAGTTAGCTTTGTGTACTGCCTTTCGCAGACCATGAAGAAAGGAAAATTTATAGAAAATTAAATTAAATACATTTTCTAATTGTGGTCGTCCTTCGGTAGAGAATGAGAAGCTCTCACAGGGTATTTCTGATCAAATATTCGGTGGAAGCTAATAATAAACTGTAATGCAGGGACCTCAATTTGTTTAAAAAACATTATGACGCACACTACAGATTGGAGGATGATTTTTGCCGAAAATCAAGCGAGAAGAGTCGAATTAAAGTGTTTAAATAACCGATGCCAAGTTGAGGACAAAGTGGAGCTATACATGCCAGCATTTTCTTATTGAAGAGAGAAACTGCATACATACCTTGTTTTCACTATAGATTGAAGTGCAGAAATAAGATACTGACAGGTGGCTTTCGGAAGATTGCCTACTGAACAAAACCTCTCTACATGAAGTGTAGAAATAAGATACTGACAGGTGGCTTTGAGAAGATCGCCTACTTAACAAAACCTCTCTACATGAATTAAAAATTTTATTAACAGAAAGCAATGTAATTGAGCCCTCTTTTTTGTGCCGTATGGTGCTCTTCTCCATTTTCTAGCTCCTGCTAGACCCCCGGATGTTACTTTTTTTAAGCAACACTTCTCTGAGATTCCACGCAATGATGTTAGACTCCTATCCTTAACCCATTACAACTGTATTTAGAATAAGATCATAATTTCTTACTCTCCAGCTATTAGCAGAACCAATGAGCGTTAAAGCAAATACAATAAAGCAATAAGTAAATTCATCTTTCGTTAAAAACTATGAATTATTACTCAATAAAAAATAAACTAAATAAATTTTCAGCACACAATTAGAGAACCTTAATTTGAACAAAACCTCATAACAACCAATAAGCCAACTAAGCCTTACACATATTAATAGTAAATAATAGTAGCTAATAATTATAATAACAACAACTGCTTTGGCCCAAAGACCGCCACAGCACCAGGGCAGTGTGTCCACTCAAATTCAAATGCATTTTTCAAATGAAGAAACTGGAATGGTCACTCACAGAAACATGTAATCATAAACAAGTGAAATAAAAGGGAGCAATATTAATGAAATAAAAACAAAAGATAGAAACAAAACCAGACGACCTCGACAACAAACATTCACAGCCAGCCAATCGCTTACATATGCCGCTTTTCGGTATCTACAAAAAACCAACCAACAGCACCTACTAGACACAAGTATGAAAAGAGTATACATTACCATAGTGTATGGATTAAAGAGTTGATACAGCTAACATCTTTAAGAAGTGTGGCGGATAAGTAGATAGCTACTAGTGCAAAAAGTCATGGACGAGTTCAAAAGTAATCGGTTTTAATCGGTTTCCTTGCTTCTTTATTGTTTTTAGTTCGAGATGATTGAAACAGATGGTTAGAAAAGTAAATATTTAGATATATACATATATTTAATGTAAGAGGAAAAATCTGGCTTTATTATAAAGAAATAGGTTTGCCATTAAGTTTTAAAAACAATTTCGGGCAAGTGACTGCTGCGGAGCGCTCGAATAAATACCAGCTGGGAGGCTCAACGCGCAGGATATTCTCTTCCGTAAATCGTCTCCGACTAATCTGCGTAGACAGGCAACTTCACATAACCAGACAAAAAATATTTCAGCAGTGTTAAATCTTACAGGCCACGCCACACACTCTCCAAAGGTTTCCTCCAATAAATTGATTATTTCGTTGGGTATTTGGCATTAGGGGCTGTGGTGTCCGAGTGGTTAGCATTGCGTACTGCCATTCGAAAGGCTCTGGTCCGACCAATATCCAAAAAATTTAGAAAATTAATTTAAATAAAAGTGAAGCTAAATTTTTTAATTGCGGTCGCCGCTCGATAGGGAATGTCAATCCCTCCTTGTGTATTTATGATATGAAATAAAAAAAAACACTCAGCCGTTCGGAGGCCGCTTAGTATAAAGTAGAGGTCTTCATTCAAGACGCCAAACCACAAATTCGCTCCGGTTATAAAGCACTTAGTATATATTATTCAAATATTAGGTCAAGTAAAAAGTTATTTACGTTAAAAGCAGCCAAAACGGCTGGAAACAATAATTTAGTTTATGGGTCCGATACTGTAAGCGAACGTGTAGCCCAAAAGTGGTTTGCTGATTCCCTTCCGGTAATTTCAATGTCAAGGAAGCACCTTGTAGTACGGTGCAGGCACCAAGTGATTACCATCTTTTCATGTCCATGGCGTCTGCCTTAATGGTGAGAAGTTAGCCTCAAGAGAAGACTGTGAAAATTGGCTCACCGAGTTTTTTTGCCAATATCGACGCAGCCTTCTACGAGAGAGGTTTATGAAGTCGGTATATCGTTAGCAAGAAGCAAATGTACACAAAGCTATCATATTTTGAAAAATCAATAATAAAAAAACCGAACGAACTTTTTACTTGACGTAATATATGTCATTTAGTCCACACCAACATCCTCCAATTCAAGCACGAAAAAATCGGTAAGAATACTACGTGTTGCGAAGCTCATCGAGTGTTCGACTCTGTTGAGCGATTATGTCAACCGATTACCGCGCGGTCCGCAACATTCGTTTTTAAATAAACGCAATTAGAAGAATTAATTTTCTATAACTTTGGATGTTGATCGAACCAGAGCTCGAACCCTGGTCTTTAAAATGGTATTAAGCAGTGCTGGCCACTCAGCTATTGCGGCCACACCGGCAGTGTTAGAATGAATAGGCGTCTGTAAAATACGTCTTAACTCGCAATTGGAATCGGGTGGCATTCGGCAGTTCGAATTCAAATGGTCACTAACTACTAAATGAAATAAGATTCTTTCGTTCGTAGTAAATGTCCAAAGGCCTTACTTTGAGTACATTTTTTCCTTTTCGGCTTATTTTAAAGATTCCAACAGCATGAAAGCAATAAATGTATTTATAAAAGACCATAAGAAATAAGAGACAAACAAGACGCCGAGTAACCGGTTTGCGCAAAAATCTTAATGGCATAACTTTGACTAGTAACGAAACGAAACGAGAAAGGCCAAGAAGCTCGCTCGCCGCAACAAAGAAACGAAGGTGGTGTATGGTTAAAACAAAAATAAACCAAAATATGAAGAAGTAGTAGCGAATAAAGTAGAAGTAACAGAATGAGTAATATATATGCGCACAATATTCGAATACTAACCAAAAAGAAGACAACATATCAAAGAAGAAGAAGGTGAAGAAGAAAAATAGCAACAACAATTAGAAACCAAACCTGACTGACTAGCCAAACAGAGTGTCAATATACCACCACCAGTACATTGGTACCGAAACAACAAGCCATCGATTGGCCAGCCAGCCAGCTTAACAGCAAGTTGGCTAGCCAAGAAGAAAAACGAAAGACTTCAATTCAGTTTGGCGAAGACAACGAACTCGATTAGAGCTGTGCGCCGCTAACGTGGAAATGGATTGTGTTTAATACCAGTGGGTTATAGCGTTTAAGCGAATTCAAAGACTCTGTGGCAACCAAACGTAATGGACAAAGGAAAAATCCCAAAAGTTTGACTTGAAGACGGCTCAAGAAGTGTGTTTGGCAAACTTTTGGCAAAGTGAAAGGGGCGTTGTGCTCAATTAAAATATATTTACATATGTATGTACATATGTAATTCGGGAGTGAATTATAAAGTGAAGAAGCAGTGAATCGAAAGAAATCGAGTTATTTTCAATTGGAAAGTTTAAAAATAACAAAATTGCATTGAAACTCGATTACTTCTGAGACGTGTATTGTGTTGCGTTTCGGTTTGCAGTGCAAAAAATATAAATTTGCGTAGGCGAAAAACACATTGTCTACACATACATACATATGCACAGCTTTGTATAGGTTTGGAATTACATATATGTATGAAGTGACGACAGCACAGCCGACTTTAGAGCGAGGTAAGCCAAAGAAAAGAGTTTTTATTTAAACACGACAGATATATGGATTTGTATAGATGGGCCACGGTATGTAAGAAAGAAAAAATCTATAGGAAATCTCAAAACAAAGGTTATAAAACACAAATTCAATCATTTCAAAGCAGTCATTTTTTTCTTTCTCTAGATTGAAGTTTGCTTAGCGTAATAGTCAAAATATCAGCTGCGCATGCGCAATCAATTGCTGCCAAAAAAAAAAAAACACAAAACAAAAGCTATGAAATATCATTCTCACGATGATGATAAATCAATTGAAGAGTCATGTCGGCTAAATATTTTAAAAGAAATAAAGATATATGTATAAGTAAGCGTGAAAATTTTCACACTCTAGTGATTTTATATGAAATGAAAGTAAAATTTTGCTTTTGTAGAAAACCTAACAGTGAAACTAAAAGTCACATACCACAGCAAAGCAAAATCAAAAAAAAACCACCAACAACGCACACGTAGCAGAAACAGAAAACTAAAACAAATTGAATACAAATATTTATTAATATGTGTGTTGCATGTGTGTGTATGTGTGTGTGCGTGTGAAAGTCTCTGTGTTGTATGAGCATGTTTGGTGTGTGTATAGCATGACACAAAAAAAAGTTTATAAATTTGGAATTATGAAATCGTTACCAAACAATAATTTGGGTGAATGGATTTTTGTTATGAAAAAAAAAAAATAGAACAGAAAAAAAAAATTAGTAAAAAAACTAACAAAAATCATAAAAAAACACTTTATTATTGCACATAAAAAGAATTAAAAGAAAAATTTGCATTCATGCAAATTAATAAAATTATCAATTATTATTTTCTTAACAAAAATCAAGAGAAATGAGAGAGTTTTAACCGTTATGCATGGTCCATGGGCATCTTCATTCGCATAAAGCTGTGGTGGAGTATTTACAAATTTCCTTTGTGGTTTAGTGAAAGGAAAAACGGCTACTTTGAAACAACAACAATTTTGTTGCTCGCATTAACCGTTGATGTTACTCATACCACCTGTGGCACAATAGGCAAGAGCTTGAGAAAAATAATTAACAATAAAATTTATTTAAATTGAACTTGCAATTATGTTGCAGCGGTTTCTTTTAATTTTTTTTTTAACTAAAAAAATCATCTCTTTACTGTCGATGACCTTAAACCTTTCACAAATGTGATTCAGAGAATATAGCATTCAAATGATCCGCGGGGTTCCTAAGCTCGCATACTGAACAGATCAACATCGAAGAAAGTGTAAAAATGTGTGTATTTCTAATTTGAAATAAAGAATATCTCTTTTAAATCCGCCCAGCCTTTCGGAGGTGCCTTTTAAAAAAATGTTGATTTATCCGTTCGCAGCGCGTACAAACGAATTCGGAATAAGAGTTCATGCTGGAAGACTCTTCAGCGGTTATTTATATAATTGGGTTGGTTATTTATTTATTATTTATTTACATTATAAAAATGTATATATGTATGTGTATAGCTTAGCATTTTTATTTCAATTAAGTAAGCCTTTGTTTCCAATTCAATTTTGCGTGCAAACATCAAACAAACACAAATAGAAACAACTTTTTATTCAACGATTTAATGAACTGGTTAAAAACCGCCTCAAAACTGGTATATTAAGCAAGTCCAACTTGTTAAACAACTGTATTTTTCCATATAAAAACTGGTATTTCCAAGATGGCGAGGAAAATCAACAGATTTCGTTCAGAAACATACTAGTCTGATACTAGTTGGATACGAAATTTTTTGAGGGAGCTTCTACTTTTACCTGCTGAATGCAAATCCGGTGCTCTAAGAATATGGTGAACCCGATACCCTAATCGACGACGATGGAACCGATGTTTCATTGACCGCGTATGAAGAAGTTTAAAAAACCGACGGGGGGGTGAATTTCGATAGACTTCGGTTGAGGTATTCAAACAATGCGGCGAATAACTTACAAAGCTAGCCCGTCTATTGGCACATACGTATGCTCTACCCAATCCACAAAAAGTGCGAGTCCACAGTTTGCGCCAATTACCGTGGAATAAGCCTCCTAAGCATATAAGTTGATAAAAATATATGTATAATAAGGCCTCGAGCTGTTCCTGAATATGGTAGCTTTGTCTGTCTAGTGACCAGCATCAATACCAATGGTTGGTTGATTGGTTGGTTGAAGTGGCTGCCGGGCATCGGTATACCTAGGTCCCAAACGGGCCCATTGTGATACCACTGAGGATCCCAAAGACACCCACCCGCTAATCGAACCAGTGCCTGGAGTTTGCAAAACTGAACAATTGCCGCTTCTTAGCTGCCGTTACCTCCCTCGGGTCGCTCAAAATTTGTCGCCACTACTTCTTTACTTACTTACTTACCTACCTACTCCAGCATCAATAATAATGTCAGTATTGAAAATCGAAGCAAAATCAGTATTTCCAACAGCTGTCACTTTGGACTGAATAGGCCTCTATAACGACCAAACTCTACAAGTCACTCGTCATTTCCGAAAAAAAAGAAGGATTGAATGGGGCTATTCAAGGAAAAAGAAACTCGTCCCAGCTCCTCCTCCAATTTATGGTATGCGTCTGGAGCGATCTAGAGTTTATTCTAAGCTGCCTCCTCCCAAATGCCGATGGGTTTTTATAAGAAGCTTTTATTTCATTCCAGAAACACACGGAGGGGGGAGGGGTTGACGCAATTAGGAAAACCAAATTTTCTATAATTTTTTATGTTGGTTGAACCTTTGTCTTTAGAATGGCGTATACAATATATACTATATGCTTATAAGTATGTATGTATAAATATGAAAAAGTACACGTGCATGCATTGGTTAAATAATGTGAAAGCCAGTAGTCAGTAACTACAGTTAGATTTTTGCACTACTAGTCGTTGTACATATGTATGTGTGTACTTATGTACTACACACTCTCGTTATCATTAATTTGAAGCGTTTGAAACTTAATAAAGGAGTAATTGATTTTGCAAGAAACTTTCAAGCGTCTTAGAAATAAGTGCCATAGAATATTTTTCACCAAATTCCATCCAAATTTAGTAACGTTTCGAAAAATACTTGTTTCCATTAGCTATTTAATTTTTCAGCTCCTTTTTCTACATCAACTACTGCAAACCCGTTTTTTGTTGCTTTTTTTTTAAACACCTTTTTCGAATGTTCGTCGACGCTGGTCTTTTGTGGACGTAATCAAATAGTTAAAACACACGATATGCGAAAAGAAACAGAGCAAATACAATAACAAAGATAGAGACATATACAAAGACAAAGACAAAGACAAGGTGGCTGCAAAGTTTTAACATAAAAAAAACTTGTTTCAAATCTAATATACATATGGACGAGTATATATAAATTTTTTCAATGTTTTGGCGGTGTGACTATTTTATAGCATTGGAAATTCCGGTAATGTTAATTTATTTCCAAAATACATAAAAGTTAAAACACCAAAATACATAAGCATTCATGTGAAGCTTTTATTTGTTGTTGTTGTTTTAGGGCAAGCATAAAGTTTGCCTTTAAGAACTAGTGCAGTGATATTTGAAATTCATGCTTGAAAGATCATAATTTGAATTTTGCCTTTTAATTTCATGCAACGGTTTCATTAGGAACGCAGATCACCCGTTCCTCCACCGGGGGCTCCTGATCTTTCGTATTCATGTTTTAAGTCTCTAAAAGTAACTTTGAATATCCAAAAGTGAATCAGAAACTATATATGATATATTAGGACAGACAAAGACTTTTAAGTCAACCCGACTCGACTTACTGACCCGATTGGTATACATATTTTTGGGTCCATCTCTTCTCCTACTGGTATTTATTACATATTTCGAACTAAAATTAATATACCATTTCATGAATATGAACGTTATATAAGGGAGTTCAGCTAATATTCATGTCCGAGTTTGACTTTTAGCATTTAAGAATTTCTCCCTGATGGTTGTTCACTAAGCTATAAGCACTGTGAACTCGAAGATTTTTCATTTTGATGTTTATAAATCAACTAATTTCCCTCTAATTCTTCGATTCTCTTGACCGTTCGGCGCCAATTGAAGAAATCAAGTGAAGGCAGTTCTTGGCCACATGATTTTTCCAACTGAGTGGGGGTCTTTCTCTTCCTCTATTTCCACCAGCATGTACTGCATAGAACATTTTTAATGTGAGAGCATTTTCAATTTTACAAACAACAGAACTTAGACACATACACTGAGCTATGTTCCGTCGCCTGCGTACTATACAAAGATTCATCTCATTCAATATCAATCGCAAAACCTTTATCTCGGGAATCCTCAATTCCAATTAAATGGTTGTTGCCATCGTCCAGGCATACAACAGGCCGGGAATGATTAGCGGCTTGTGGAGAGTATTTGTTCGTAAAAAGAGGACTTTAGTTTTCTATCGCCCTTTCAGTACAAAGTAAATAGTACCTGTTGGCAATATTGACTTTACGTTGGTATTTTATACCGACATGATAGACGAAATTATCTACAATTTCATAGTCATGACTATCAACAGTAACGTGAGAGTCAAGTGGCGAATGCGCTCACTGTTTATTTGATGACAGGAAATATTTTTTATAATCACCAAATCCCATTCCCCTTGTTACCTTATCCTAACAGAGCTTTTGCTGTTACTCAGCGTCAATTTATACAATCGTAGAAGTTTAGCTATCGTACAGTTCCTTCTTTCAAATGCTACTTTAAAATTTGAAAAATTTTACTGGTTTTCCCCAAGATTTTGCGCATGCTATTGTAGTTTTGCCAGATCTGAAGCCACGCTGACTAAGCCTAAAATTTTCGTTAACGTTGAGCTTTGATCTTTCACATAAAATGCTTGCTAGAACCTTACACATGGACAGCGCTTGCTCTGATTACTACTGTCGACCAATTTCACAAGCTCTTCTTATGCACGCACTTCCGTCCCCAACTTTGTCTACCTGCGAAAGCGTATCGCTTGTTTTTTAAACTTCCACAGACAGCGCACGTTTCAGTCAGGCATAACC